AATCGAGGGATTGTTGCCCTCTTTTGCATTCTCAAACCCTATTCTACACACCCTCTTCAATTACGTCTATTGTACTTCCTTACTGTGAAATCGTGGCTTTCTCCTTTTGTATTCAATGTCGTTTCTCCTTTATGCCCAGCTAACCTTATCCTTCTTTAACATCTCGTTGCACTTATGTCTCGAAACACAATTGCATTCAGGCCATCAAGGGAGACAAGTCGCGATTTTTCGGGAGCTATCTCAGCCAAAACCCAAAAATTAGTGGCCTTTAACTAAATTTAAAAATTAGATTTACTTAAAGACAAGTGGAATGGGTGAACGATGGCCACCTTGAGCATATGAAGCCAAGTATCAATCAAATTTATTGTTTTTTTTTTTTTTGCACTGGGTTATATGCCACAAAAGCAAAGAAAACTATCAACCCGGTTTGAAAATTACCTATTTTTCCTAAAAAATTGATTAATCTAACTATGAAGTAAAGCAATTTACTGCATCTGTTCGTCGCAAGAGCTGCTTCAAAAACTGGAAACAAGTTTTTATTTAGTTTTTATTTACGCTTCAATCTCCAACCTCAAAACTCTTTAAAACTGGTTATCTAGTTTTATAACCTCTAAAACTTTCTTAATTCTCTTCAATCCCGTTATGATCGACTAATAGCAAACATTCAAACATTCTTCTCTTAGCACATCCCAGAACTCAAAACCGACGTTTCCTTTGAGTGACTCTGAAATACAGTTAAAACTCTTCATTTCGTTATATTCTTTAATACCTCATCAAAAACTACTATTTTATAACTTTAATACCGTATTATTTCGTCTTAATACAAGAAAATGATAAAATACCTATTTTTAACAATTCATTACCGGTTGAGGAAGTGCCCGATTTTAAATATCTTGGATTTACTCTTATCTCAAATGGCCAGACGAAGGATGAAATTATAACAAGGATAGCGACACCTAGAAATGTGTTTTTCTAGGAATGTGGTTGATGAAACCTTCATGGAGCCGTCGCGAAATCAACATAAAAACTGTAAATCCGCATCCAAATAGCTGTAATTCGCTCGATTTTGTTATATGGAGTTATCAGCCTTTGGCCACTCATGCCTAAGATATTTACGGATCAATCATATAAAATCGCACATGATTGTATCTATCTTCGCTCAAATTCCACCTGTATTAATAATAATGTTACCTGAGAGCATCTTCGCTTAGGGGATATTTTTCGTCACCATCAAAGTCGAAACATATTTCGTTACTTACCCTGTGATAGTTGGCGTCAGAACCGAGGAGTGCCAATCAAGACCTGGACTGTAGAGGAAGGATTTTGAGTGTATAGAGGGACCAGTGATATATGGACTCAAGCGATAGAAAAGTAATTGCTTTCATTATTGTCAATGATGGCGTGGACTGAAGAGCTTAGAGACATCTTATCTCTGTAGCCAGCGGAACCAGCCTAACCAGTAATGATGAAAGTTGTTAGAAGAAGAATACCGTATTATTATCACCGTATTAGTGTTTTCCTTCATCAAACTTCTTAATTCCTCAGCGCATCTCTTATAGTATTCTTACGTCTTTTCTGTAAAACTTACATATTTCAGTACTTTTTTTTTTATTGCATGGAGAAATTGGTAAATAAATCGATCTGTGGGCAGTGGATTGCAAAATGAAGCCTAAGATCAATTCAACAATGACTTGAACTAAAGCTTAAATTTCCTATAGAATTCTATCCAATCGCCTATAAAAGATTTTTCTTTGGTCAGCATATGCCATTTTTTTTCAGCTTGCATATATTAATTTCGTTTTGAATAATGTCCAAAGCTAACCGGTTTTCTAATTTGACCAAAATTTGATGACAAAAATCAACAAATCTTCGAGTGTTTTGATTATTTAATCTAGTTTTAGCTATCTAGTGAAGCTATAAATTTGATTTGAAAGGGGGTTTTTTTTCGATTGTTTCACCGGTTTAATAATCAAATGATGAAAATCATTCACAATCAAACAATAAGATAAAATGACAAGAATTGAAGAATAGAAATCCAATTATCTATGATTTTTATCACTTATTATGTGTTTTTGCTAAGGACAAATATTGTGCCTTATCTGACTGCAAAAGTGGATAATCATTAAAAGTGTGGGTGACGCATGGAGATCTTCCTATATGACCCTCTGGATTAACCTTCTTATCAGTGGCTAGCCAAACCAGAAACATTATGATTGGTGATGGTGAAGAAGAATGGTGGACTGGTATGACTTGGATTGGATTGAAATATTAAAAAAAGAAAAATCGGTCGGTCGATCTTCTACTTCATCTTATTTTTAGGACGATAAAGTTAATATAACAAAACAAGTGCCATTTGCCAAAATTTTTAAGAAATTTTAATCAAATTTTTCACTAATCAAATAATCACTTTGTCAAAATGAATTCGAAAACCATTGAATAAATCTAAAGTTGAAAAAACAAATATTTCAATCAAATTTTGTGGAAATAAGGTATTTCATAAGGGAAATCAAATGGTATTTCGACAAAATTTACTTTGTTTCGTTCATTTTATTTTATCAAAAAGGAAATAAATTTGCTTGGATATAATTTGATAGTCCATAAATCCATAAAAAACATGGCGCATTCAGGTCTGTATAAATGAATATTATCGTCAAAGAGCGTCCTCTACCTAGTTTTGACCATCTTCTTCGTGAAATTCATGTATATCTCGCTATTTATTAAGTTCTGTGATCGAAGCGGAAGCTGGAAAAGTTAATCAAGACCTGGATTGATATACCAAATATAGCTCAATGATATGGTCTTAGATGATGGAAAAAAGTGGTTTCTGCTATTTTGTGATTTGGTAATGACCGAGGAATGGTCTCACCTTTGTATTAGTGGATTAATCTAAGCGAGAGATGGTGCGAGCCGTTAGAAGAGAAATTCTTTCAAACCATAATCTTAATATTCTTAAATTATAATTTTTTCTTTTCAATAACAATCCAGCAAAAATGTTTCATGCCAAAACCACTTAATTTGAATTTGAAAAACTTGGTTTGATAATTGCATCGGTTAAAGAACAAATTCTTGAGTAAACGTCAAAAATCAACGGTTCAACAATTTTTCGTGAAAAATACTGTATAAATACTACTTTACTCGAATAATATTGATTTACGGTGATTGTAATGAACTGTTGCAACTGTTTTCATATTTCGTTAGTTCATTATTTAAAAAATATTTCTAAAAATATTTTTAACAATGCAAAATTTGAAAATCTTTTTGACAAATGTAAGTCACTGCAATGAAGAAGTTGAATGTCCATTTGAATGACCAAGCCAGTTTTTCATTTGATAAATTCGCCGAATCCAGTTTTTTTTCATAGAAATCATACATAATGCATAATATGCTTTTGAGAATGATCCATTGTAGCTTTGAGAGTGTTCATTCTATTTTTTCTACGAGCATCAAACGATCAATTAACGGACAACCAAATGATTAATTAACGAATTCCAGCAAATATTCATGGCTGTCAAGTTAAAACTTTGCCTGATCCTTTTTATTCGTTCGTTCATTAGTGTTCTTTACATTGTCATTTTTGTCATCTATTCTTGCTATTCCTTATTTAAGTACCTTTCGATTAATTAACCTCAAAGTTTTTTCAGTAGTTTTTTTTTGCAGATTATGTCGGACATTTCTTGTCTAGAAATGTTGCTAGCTTAGCTCTTTCTTGATATTACAATAATTTAAGTGCTTTTTTCTGAGACCACCATTCTTCACTGCTATTGGTTAGGCTTATCAGATATCTTGCGAGGGATTCAATTGACGATAGAAGCACAGGCGAATCGCTAGCATCACTCAAATTTTTGAAGAACAGGTTGTTACCAGGAGCAGACCCATAACACTGGTGCTTTAAATGAGCAATAATTCACTGAGCTATCCTACTCCCTTTTTGTTTTTATCATTTCAAGGTAGCCAGGAAGCGTGAAACATGAGGCCGGATTGAAGTCCGAACCATTCTCGATTCACATTGCTAACCACTGTGCAATGTAGATATTTTTATTATTGGTTTTTACCATTTTGCTTATTATAATTTTTAATATTCTAGGAGCGCCCGCTCTGTCAGACTAGACAAATTTTTCCAAGAAGTCACTTGGCGATAGAAGTTCAGGTGAATCGCCAGCATCGTTGGAGTTTTTGTAGGAACATTTAATTCTTAATATTGCCACTAAAAATTACATCATCATTATTGTTAATCATTTATTTATTAGAGAATAAAAGAGCTCAAAGTTACTCATTTCAAAGAGTTTGAGCTTCTTTTCTTCTGCTTGCAGGAGTAAGATTGACTTTCAGCAAATTCGAACGATCATAACCAGAAGTGGCGAGCACTCTCGAAGAAAATAATTAATATTACTGATTGCAATAATCTTAATATTAAAATATTATTAAATCGTATAATGGTCTTAATACTATAAATTATTGTTGTTGGCACATCGTTTCAAATTTTTTCCGCCGCTATATTTTTTAAAGCAATTTTAATATTTCTTAAAATATTAAAAAGTGTAAGCATTATTTCCAACATTATTAATCGGGCACTTTTAAATGCTTAAACTCATCTTTTATTTACTTCTTACTTTAAAATCACTAATGATAGGTTGTAGGTTTGATGGATTGATAGGTTGAGCAGATTATAGAAAATCATACAACACATTTTATCTTATTTTATCTTAGTACATCAGAAAATGAAAGCAAAATAGCAGAGTGCCTGTTGTTTAGATTACCATCGTGAGGTTCAACCATGTTTCTGATAGAAGTAAATCTTTTATTAAAATCTGGTTGAAACTACTTACTCGTATTTCTATCGCCAATCAAGAATTCTTATTTTACTGACAATAAATGATGCGATTCTGATTAGAAATGATGGCCGCTTCATATTTCTTATTATTTCTTATATTGCAGTATTCAAGCCTGATTATCGTGATCCCTTGTTGGATCATAGAAGAAGAGGAGGAAGAGAGGTCGATATGGGTAAAGGACTGTTCGAAAGTCTTCGCGATTATCCGCCAGCTGTTTTTTTTATGCTTGGCAATGAATTTTGTGAGCGATTTAGCTTTTATGGAATGCGTGCCATTTTAACAATCTATGTGATTATTGAGCACCATTTTAGCGAAAGGTTTGTCGAAAAGCAATTGAATTTTTTTTATTTATGTGTATTTTATTCGAGTAGAATAGATTATCCGAGAATTATCCAAATGTAATGCGTTATAACGTAATGCGTCCACCCGCGAATCATCACAATCAGAAACCAGGAATCCGCAAAATTCTCAAGTTAATATTCCCTAAAATTCCCTAATATTGTGGCCAACTGGCCAACTGGGTATTTAATAATTATTTCTTAAGTCTTCTGATAATGATTATTTGAAATGATATGCATGTGCACAATTTATGGTGATGAAAAATACCTTTAAAATGCACAAAATAAACAATTTCAGTCAAGCGTCGTTATTCTATCATGCTTTCGTCTCATTAGCCTATCTCTCGCCTTTGTTTGGATCAATTGCTGCTGATAATTATTTTGGACGTTTCCGAGTCATTTTATGGGTTTCAGTTATTTATATTATCGGTCATGCATTACTCTCATTTGGAGCCATACCATTTTTAAACTATGGTACAAGGTCCACATTCGATTTTAGTGGACTTATTCTCATTGCATTAGCAACGGGTGGTATTAAGCCATGCGTATCTGCATTTGCTGCTGATCAGGTATTTTATAAGTCGTATAATGATGATCGTGAATATTTCTGCATAATTTCTTCTTTAAAGTATCTCCCTAAGGGCCAATTAATTTGGTTTTCTTGGCTAATTATTAAACAAATATACGATTTAAAGTGAATTCTGAGTGGACGCTGACAACTAACTTGTACTTCGTCTTAATCTAACAAACAGCCAAGGGCTATTAAGATAAAAAGTAGTGATAGGGGTACGAAAATTAATCTGTAAAGTGCAGTAAAATTATGCATATTTGAATGAAAAAAAGCAAATTTCCCGATTAGGACTTTCCTTAGTGTCTTTTTGATCGAATTTTTAATGCTTGATTTATTTCAAAAAATTATAGTTTAACGAGAATCAAAAGAGTGAACGGGCTCAGTTCTTCTCATTCTTTTATTTCTCCATTAATGCTGGATCTTTTATTGCAATTTTATTAACACCAATGCTCCGTGGCCGCATTAAATGCTTTGGATCCGATTATTGCTTTCCATTAGCTTTCGGTTAGTCGCCACAAATATACCTTTCCATTCATGTGATATCTCATGCTTATATTAATTATTAGCTTTAGGTATACCTGGAATTTTGATGCTTTTGGCGTTTATTTTGTTTATTTCTGGCTATAGATTTTATAAAGTCACACCGGCTGCCAAAGGAAATGTTGTATTTAATGTTATCGGCTGCATTTTTTATGCTGGAAAGCAAAAAATCCTCGCATTATTCAAGGGGTTAATTCTGATGCTTCGATTACTAAAAATTATTTGTGTAAAATTAATCTTCGTTCATATTTTAGTCGTATTTGAGTACTTTTAGAAGAGAATTCTCTGGAGCTAATTTTTCAAAGATAAGAAATATCCTATTGTTGGTGAAATTTTCAGAAATTGTCAAAAAAAAACGCATTGGCTAGATTATGCATCTCCAAAATATAGCGACGAGTTTCTTTTCGGTGTTCGGAATTTTGTTGCAGTTTCTATTCTTTTCGCACCAATTATTTTCTTCTGGGCACTTTTTGATCAGCAGGTCTCGTTCCCGAGCACTTCATCCAGGAACCGCAGTAAATATCTGAATCAATGATATTTTATTCAGGGTAGCACTTGGGTGTTGCAGTCAAGAAGAATGGATGGCAGAGTTGGGCCTCTAACGATTTTACCTGATCAAATGAATACATTCAATCCATTAATTATCTTAATAATAGTACCACTATTCGAAGCATACATTTATCCAATGGCACGAAGATTCGTTAAAGTAACACCATTGAGAAAAATGGCCTTGGGTGGTTTATGTGCTGCTATTGCTTTTATGGTGGCTGGGTTTCTGCAGGTTTAACTATAAATTTGAATTCATTTTTAAAATTTTTCCACTTATGTTTAATGTTTAATTTCAGTGTTTGATTTGAAAAAATTTCCATACTGTGTTTGTTATTAAATATTTTTTATCTGATATTTCTTTATCGCTCTTAAATACACTTTTCTTTTAAGCTTGAAGTTAATAAAACAATGGAACCTCGTCCTAAACCAGGCCATGTATTTTTGCACCAATTAGGCAACTCGTCTTCACAGTTTTTCATCAATGAAACTCTCGTAGATCATGGTAAAAATGATTATCCAGCTGGAATTTATACCATCTCTTCTAATGATAATAAAAAGTTTACCCTCGATTTGTCCGATGATTCCAAAGGATATGTTCTCGGTTTGTACAACATTGACAATAACACGTAAAATTTTTTTATCTTTCATCTTTTTTTTCATTATATTACTTATTGTTACTTATACTTATTTCTTTTATTTTCAACAAAATCTATCTTCGACTTGTTTATTCTATTATTTACATAACCTTTGTGCCTTATAGGATTAATCCAATTTTTCCAACTGGTTTAATCAGATTTAATTAAATTTTTGAAATTTTGAAATTCATTTTGAAAATCAGCAAATTTCTTTTTCTCAATTTTCCGATTTTTTCTTAAATCGGTGTGCAATCGGTGCAATATTATTCAAATTTCAAAAGTGTAATAGGTACTATAATCGTTTGTTGCTTTGGCTCACGCTTTCGATTCCATTGATAGAAGTTAACCTATTTCTATGGACCTCTTTGTAGTTCTGTTCCTTTTGGTGGATGGAACTTTGTCGAAAGAGCCTCGTTCCAGTAGTCAGTGATCCATGGATTTATACAATACAATGCAAGGATAATAATAAGATCGTTTTTTATTTTTTGCTTTGTTTTACACGTCCGATATTTTGCAGAATGAGCATGTCACTAATTAATTATAATTACGAAAAATCAGAAAATGGTCGGACCAGGTTGTATCTACTCGTACCAAATAATTCCAAACTCAATGGTGGTCATTTCTTTGTTGTCGATTATAAAGGAAATATTCATACTGAAACTTATATTAAATCAGGTTTTTAATTTTGGACTTCGTGATTTTAACTTATCATCATGAAAAATATTACTGAATGGCTTATGAAAGTTAATTTCTAGTCTTTTATCAGAGTCAAGTCTAAACACTGTTGTGACTCATTTGCAGGTGCATATGTAGATATACAACCAGCTTTAATAAGTTCACCCGATTATACGTTTATATTTGGTGCGAATTGCACAAAAGATGACTGCGTATATAAAACTCCATTTTATGCGCAAATGGGAGCAGCATATGTTGTAGAAATTATGGAAGGAAATACTGAAATATATACGGTCGTTAGGCCGAACAGTGTGAATATGTTGTGGCAGTTGCCACAGTTTTTCATTATAACTATTGGAGAAATACTTTTTTCAATCACCGGCTTAGAATTTTCTTACTCTCAAGCGCCAGCAAATATGAAATCGGTTCTACAGGTTGGTTGTCGTCATTATTTGTCTTATTCGATCTTTGATTCGTTGTCTCGATAGTTTTTGACAATATTCAACTTCAGTACATAAACGAGTCGCATGTTTTCAGGCTGTTTGGCTTATGACGGTTTTTTTGGGTAATGTGATAGATATGTTTATTTCTGGATCTCATATAATCACTGAACCAGCCAATGAATTTTTTGCTTATTCATTATTAACATTTTTCGTTGTTTTAATCTTTATTTTATTAGCCAAAAATTACATATACGTCGAAGATCGGCCAAATGAGCAAATTTTCAAGGATAAAAAAAGACCATTGGCTTTAACACATTCTGAAAAAGCAATATAATTTTTGAGAATCCTTTTTCCTTTTTTCTTTTTTTTTTCTTCCTCTCTTCCTTGTCTCTACAAGCTGTATTACTGTATTTGTTTTCTGTATTCAGCGATCGAATGGATATAAAATAATCGTTCATACTAAGTTAATCTAAGCTAAATAAGGAAATCTTAAAAAATTTCAGTGGAGCTTTTGCTTAAAAATCGTATTTTCAAAATCCTCTATTTGAGACCACAATATGTACAAGAAACATTGGTGAATAACGGAGAAGCTGCTAACACCAAACATTGGAGTCAATAAAAATCTTTTTTTTCGTTTTCGCAATTTAAAATTTAGGTAATTCGAATTCTGTATATATGCATAGCTTTTTCGATGGATAAATACCTTCCAAATTTATTGCTTCTAAAATTCATTTATCGTGTTAAAGGGACAAACTATTTAATTGCAATTTAATTGCCATTATTTAATTATTTGATTTGATTAAAATTAGACTGAATTAGAGATCAAATTTAAAATGCCATTACAATATCGGCAAAGAAAACTTGTAATGGGCCATAAATCAGTAATTAAAATTATCTAAGAATTTACCTAACATTTGGCTAAAGACCAAGTTAGATTTGTCTGTTTAAATTCAATAGGTGGAAGATTTTTTTATTTTTGAATAATTCGATGTATTTTGCTATAATACAAAAATATTCAAACTCTGTGTTTCGAGCTTCGAATTACGCACAACCAATTAACGGTTATAAAAATGCGAATATAAATAAAAATGCAAAAAAATGGAAAAAATTCTTTGTCTACTAGTGAAACGACAACCACACGAAGAAAATTTGAAATTTAAAAATAAAAATAAAGAAAATGAAATTTTAAGCATATAAGCTTTAGAGCGAAGATTTACAAATGATGAGGAATAAGAATAAAATTTTGGTCCATGCGCTGAAATGGTATATGTAGAAAGCATCATTGGTGTAGAATGGTGTATACAACAAAACGGGTCGAGGACCTTCTGTGGTAAGTTAATTTAAGGCCAAACAAAGGAGTAACAGCGAGTAATTCTTTTAAAAACTTGGAATAACTTTCAAAAATTTGCGATCGAAACAATTGTTGACTGAAAATACGAAATTATATGTAATTTAATTGAAATTAAATAATTTATTGAATGGATTTCTATATTGTAAGTGCGTTGTTCTGAAGAGTTCATCTCTATAAATTTTCTTCATTATGTTTAATCTTCAATATTCATTAATTCTTCACATTGATCGTCTTCTTCTCTGGCAGGTGAAGGTTCTTCAGGTTGCTGGTAAGTTTCGAGTCTTTGGGGCATAGGGAATATTTGTTCCATTGATTCCGTTTTTGATTCCGATGTTGAAGCAGTTGCGTACTTCATTGCTGCTGTCGGTTCGCTATCCCTGCTCACCGTGATTTGTCGCCTCGAATCAGCAACTTTCTTCATTAGCGAAGATATCGAATCTCTCTTGTAAAGTGGCGCAACAACTGCGTAAAAATTAATCACATCATTATCTTTTTTTTCCTTAATTTTTTTTCGGTCAAAGGCAAAATTTTTCTTGTGATTTTCTGAGTTTATCGTTTCTTCAAATTCCCTTTGTCTTTGTAAATCATGAAAAACTTCAATTATTTTGAACTGATTTTCTTCTGTTGCTTCATTTTCGAAACATTTCGCTAAATGTTTTGTATATTCATTTGCAGAAACCAATAAGCAGGAAACGCGACATAACGTTAATTCTGGTCCAAGAATATGTACAATTACTGATTCTTTTATAATTATATGTGGGTAACTGAAAAATAAAAAACTGTGAAAAATGGGTTTCAATACTTTTTTTATAACTTTGCAAAATTGGCAAAAATAATTTCCATTAAGATTTTTTATAGTTATGAGCACCTTTTATTGAATTTCACCACTCCGAACTAAATGTAAAGCAGTTGATTTAAAGCTCACAAATTTTGGTAGAAAGCGATTTGGCTATGGACAGAGGCAGACCGTCTGCATCATTCGGATTTCTTAACAATCGGTCTCCAGTAGATGGTAAAATCCGAAAATCTGCCATCCTACTCCTATATGCAATGTAATGTACAATGTACATGTCTTGAAATAAAAGGTCATATTGCCAAAAATTGATTTAAAGATAGAGCCTGGATTTAACTTCAATAAATAAAATCGTTACTGCATAGAAAAGAAAATTAACCCAATATTTTCTTTAACTCTGTCGTTGGCTAAATCAAGAATTCTGCAACGCTGTAATAGAGATTCGGTGTTGTTTATCAGTAGATGAACGATTACGTAAGCATGAACAGTGATCGGAATGGGTAAACCAGCCAAAATAAATGCTCCAGGTTATTTATCAATCATATAATTTACCAATAATATGAAATAAATGGTATTTATTTATATTTGGTTAATGCTTCGTTTAAACTTATTTGGCAATTTATTTTTGCATGAGCATGCACCACTTTTGATCTGACTAGCACCACTGATTACCGGGTGAATAAAAGTGGTTAAGCGAATAAAAGTATAGTTTGGTCCTCAGAAATCCTTTTAACGATTTATGCATTTTAAATCCATTTGTATTTCTATTGACGAAACTCCATTTTGCCAATTGACAATTTAAAATTTAAAATTTGATGAATTTAAAATTAATTAAGAATTTACTTTGAATTTCTTCTCTAGAAAAAATCGCTGTAACCACAAATCCGAGACTTTGTAAATGTACCATAGTTTTCGGCGGATGATTAAGAAGTATATGAACATTCAAGCCTTCCATTTCGTTTTCCTTGTCTCTTTGTTCGTTTGATTGGGCTGTGCTATGCCAAGTAGAATCAGCAACCGCTCGTTGTATCACTGGAAATCAGCTTAATTTTGTATTATGTGAATTAAAGCCCCTTTGTTTACTCAGCTTAATAAAAAGGTTATGCACATAGAAAATATCTACCGGGGGGACGAACTGGAGAACTTTTTGCGGCCTGATATGAAGTGGCGGATAATTCAGATGAGCCCCAAGATGTTGACTCAGAAGAGTTTGGTGAATGGCCTTCTGAAAATGAGCTTTTAGGCTCAAGCGACGCTTTTAATTTAGTAAAATCGTCACCGGCCACTTCAACATCACTCCTGCGGTGTTTATTGATATTCTTCATTGCTAAACGCATTTCATCTCTTAATACATCCAACACATGTTCTTTTTCTTCTTGTGGTGTAAACAGTTCAAATTCCAGGAGCAAATCACAATCATTGGGCTTAATTCCTTTAAAATTCATGGAATGAATGATATCGCCTGAATTATTTAATGATGACAATGCAGTTGATATTATTGGAGTATTTATTAAGCTGATAATTTCTGGATTAAGGCTGTATTTCGCAGGACTTATTTCACTTTTTTTCAGTTCTAAATACGACTCAAGCACACTAACAGGTTTTTTTATTGCTCTAACTCCTTCTTGTGCTGAAGAACTGTCTTCTGAAATGCCCCTATTCGTGATAAGACTTGGTTCTTCTGAGCTAATGAAAGATGGACCAGGACCAACTGCACCATTACTATTTCTGATTCCAGACGGTCCTGCTTCATCTTGAATATTTGCTATATTTTCACTAATGATTTGACGAGCAGGGAAATAATGTACTGCTTCATAATCTTCGTCAACGTCATAGTCTTTATTTTCTTGATTCTGCCGTTCAGGATATAGCATTTCTTCAAGCAAACTTATTTGCTGGCAAGCTTTTTCTCTTACTTCGTTGGTAGGTAAATGGTACTTGAAGAGTGGCTGTCTAAATGGCTTATCCATTCCTGACATGGTTACTGTTATTGCACGTGTCGGTCTTATTGGTTCGTTGTGATGCGGATCAATTGGAATTTTCATCATAAACCACTCATGTGGTAACCCGAGATCCACTAATCGTTGTTTTAGGAAGAATAAAAAACAATACTGCTTTAACAAAAAGTCTTTCTGCGCTAAAATATTGAGCTGATTTTCTATTTCATTAAGCATGAATATTTTTCCGCTTGTAAATGTCATATTTGATATATCGCACGTCAAAAAACATTTTTTATAATCAGGTACTGTCTCAGCCATTTCAGCCCTTGGTATTTCAACTGTTCTCTTACTGCCTACCACTTTAAAACCCTTTGCCTTCTGCACAGTCCTAATTGGTTTTCCTGCCTTCTGCAGTATTTCATTTATTCTTTCGATCAAATCCACAACGAAAATATATTTTAAAAATGTCGATGATCGTTCATTATAAATGCATATGTATGACTGAGGTCTCTCACAAGTTCCATCGCGTCCATAATTAAGCTGAAAAAATCGCTGATATTCAAAGATTTCTAATAAGACTTTTCTTAAATTTTTTAATTTTTTGTGGAATTGTTCAATATTTTTAAAGAAGTCCGCCATTTCTGGTTTGGTCACTTTTCCCGCCGTCGCACCAGCTAAATTTGCAGCCACTTGGATAGAAGTAAGGGCGTGTAATACCACGCATATTTTTCAAAGGAAGCTCACTACTCATTCCAATGTGAATAGAATCCCACCACTGGTTTTCTAAAAAAAAAGCAATAAACCTTTCTACCTCCTTTCTCAATTATTTTTTCATTAAACAAGCGAAATGAGAAAACAGCAAAAAGAACAAAATAATTGTCCTAGAATTCAGCCGATATTTAATTGAACCTGATTCAACTTTAGAATCCTTAGAATTTATGATTGCCAGCTGATAAACCTTTAGAATGGCATTAAATGAATGGCGAGTAGGCAATAAGTTTCAAAATTTTCCGAGAAACCAACCCTATTTAATGCAATATTAGCAGCGAAGATTTCAACAGCTTTACGGTCCTTTTCATTTGCCAGCAAACGGCGTACTTTTCTCATTAATGCACCTATACTAAATCGACCCACAGAAGCATGAACATCGCAAACGAACGAGTTTTCGTTGAAAAATTGATTCGTTAACAGTAAAATCTCTAAGCCAAGCCACGATTTCCACACCACCTAAATGAAGCAAATTAGTCGACAATATTCTTATTAAAATTTCTATAGTAGCCTTTCAGTTTTTCAACGAAACCTGATCTGAGATGTTTCATATATCACTTCGAAATAATTTCGAGGTTTTTACTCATAAAAAAATATTCAATGATTTTTATTCTAGGAATTCGCGAGGAAGCTTTAGATTATCGTTTTGTTTTTGCTCGCCACTTTTCGACGTCACTTAGCTATCCAGATGTTGCTGTGGAACTAGTTGCACATTTCCAATACCAATTGACTAGCAGGCAGTCTAACTAGAAATAGTGAATGTTGACCTCTTATTTACTTATATAGAAGCTCAAAAATCACAAACTTTCTCTAAATCAACTCTGAATGAAGCGGTATTATCATAGAATAATTTCGGTGGAAGATCTTCAAATTTAACGAGTACTTCTGCATCACAACTTTGAAGTTGATAGAACGTTTTCACTGGGTAATTAACAACCATTCTGAAATTCCTCATTCATAACGATTTATATAAAATCGTAAAAACTTCTATTAGTTTGGCGGTAAATCCAAATAACCTTTGCACATACTAAATAATACTAAAAAGACCACGTAAAATGAATTTTTGTAGTCCTAACTTCAATGTGCATAATTTCAAAAAGAGTAATTTCAGCAATAATAATAAGTAATGTTCATTTTGCAGAATTTGTGGGCTTAGTTCGACAATCACAACGTCTTCAATCCTCCTATAACCTCTGAAAATTGGTAGGTGAATAGAAATAAGTTGGACTTGAAATTTTCCAAAATCCAGGAATTTTCGACTCACAATATCATTATTAAATCATTGTAAAATGAGTTTAAATTTTTAATTTTTACAATAAATTTAAAAATCATGCAATTCATGCAATTAAAATAAGCCAAACCAATTTCTTCAATGCCCAACACCACAACCATTTTATTTCTCCTCAAGGAATCGATGTTACTTGCAATACTAAGGCAAATCTCAACTGATAAATTCGAATTTCTTATCAGCTGGCTTCTGGCAAAATTTCTAATCGTAATAAGGACTAATTTAGCAAAAAAGAGTAAGCGCTAATCACTCAATTAATTATAATTATTATAATAATATTAAAATTAAATCATTCAATAATCCTATCGATGAGAAAATATAATCCAACTTACCGGAACTTAAATTCTTTTGGTACCATTGCTTTAATGAGATCATTTAAGCGATAATCGAATATCGTAGGACGAAAAATAAAGTTCTCGAACTTCGGAATAATTCCAGTATTTTTGCTTATTGCTTTGACGATTTCGTCCTTCGCTTCTTCAGTTAACAGTTGTTCGTTGAAAACAATTAATACAATTTGGTGACAACAAGTCTCGTACAACGACTGAAAATGCGGACAGCGCTAAACGGTATAACGATATACATACATATAAAGATAACGATATAATACATATAATACATAATACATATAAAGATGAGGATCAGTCGAATCGGCCTTACTTACCTTAATACGTCTGCTTACGAATCCGATAGTATATTTTTTGAGTACATCCAAATTTTGAATATATTTCACATGCATTCTCAGAATCCGTATTATTGGCAATTTTAACCTTTGCCTGAAATTCTTTTTATCATTTACTTGTTTACTTTTGCTCTAAAAAAATCAGTCGAAATATCACTGTTTTAATTAAGTCGTTAGCTTTTAGCTGCGCTATCTATTCATATGGCAAGAAGGGACATTTCGCCATGAAGTATAATACAAATTTCAAATTTCTTAATAATAAGTTTATTTCTCTAATGAGCTGAATGAGCTTCAACACGAAAATCTAAGCCACTCTTCACTCTTCACTCTTAATTACATTTATTATATTTGTTATAGCATATGGAGAGAATTGACAATATTATGGAGAGCTGATTTAAGTTCCATTTTATCTTGGCTTGACTTGGAACTGTAAAAAGAATCAATTTTTCGCCTTCTGTATACATGCTCATTGTTTAAAATGATTTACGATAAACAAATATTGGCAATGAATTATTCACTTCACTTGGATTCGGAAGATTTTTATATATTTATAAAATATGTAAGCTAAAAGAAAAAATGAATGATAAAAAACAACTAACAGGGAAATATCGTATGTTTTAAGCGATATATCATCAGAAACTCGCACTGCTAATGGAATTTCTAATTTCAAAATATTCTTCGCCATTGCAATTCCGCAGTATAATCTCCAAATACTTAAAAGAAATATGATATTCTGGGAATGGAAAATATTCGAAAAGATGATGGGATGCGCTCTATTCATTAAAAATTGGATTAAGATTAAGATCTTCTGGTGTATTTGGTGTATATATATATATATAACATGACTATCACCGCTGTATTCAGTCAAAATGTTCTAGTGAAGACCATCGCATTACTGTACTATATGAATACAATTCCTGCACATGGATTATTTATTAATATGGAAGTCTTCATCATAAATGCGTCTTCAAACACATTGGGTTCCAATTTATCGAAAGAATAAACAGAAATTGGAGCCTACATAGTTGCAACTGGAAAGAATTGTTTACCTCTCGCGACATCATATTCAGATTTTCATATTCACTTCCTCTCAACAATATCATCATAAAATACGTCTACGCTGACTAAACCATCGCCTATCTAAAGAACCAACATATATCGCGGTCCAGGATGGAATAAGAACGTAAAAGGGCGAGATGTATTAAGGAACAATTGACTAGGATATCCATAAAAAACAGCTAGGATGGCTTCAAACCAGAAATGGTCAAAAGACACAAACGCAATTAGTATTTCTTATACTATTACTAAATGAAATAATTTCAAAAACTATGGAAAAAAAATGAGGAAAGTAGGATGAGAATTTAAATATCGAAATAATTACGAGGCGCCAAAATCTAAAATTTCATTGAATTAAGATTGCAGATCAATAGAAAATTTACCAAAATTATTTTTTAAAATTGTCAAAAATTTAGGTTTTGTAATAGAATTTAATTAAACGATTTAGAATGAGTAAACTTGTCACTGAGCTTCAGCCTAGAAAGCAGTGCTGTTAGAAGAAGAGGAAACCTGAGCGGCTTTTCTTTTTTCATCTGAAATTTTATTCATCGTAAAAATAGAATTTTATATAATTTTAGATTATTTTTAAGGGAACTGAAATGGATTTTTCTTTATATCTTTATCCTTTTTTCTATAATAAAATCAAAATCAAAATTTCAAGGGGAAATTTCTTTTTCATTCCATATTATCAGTTAACAATATACAACAAAAAATTCAAGGATTTCATTCGTTACTATCCCTTCGCCAATATTCTTTTTTCCCAATTTTTTTACCTCAGCACTGTGCAAATGTAAACTTTATTTCCTGTAAGATAGATTTCACTGCAAATTTCATTATTCTGGATTTTTGCTTTTGAATTTTTTTATTCTGGAGTTCTTGTTGATTCAGATTTGAAATAAATAAATTTAAAATAAATTTTTTGCAAAGAAAAGGAAAACTGAACTTATTCTGCTTGATCTAAATACAATCAACATTCCATCGAACCATTCATACCGTTGGCTTATGCTCTTTAAAAGAATATCGCGCGACGAAATGTATGCCAATTATTAATAATCAGAAAAATCGAATTAATATAAAATAAAACTTATAAGGCAATGAAAAATATGAGATAGTAAATATAGGACAAACTTATTTTATCGAATTATCATTAAATTAATCCAGAAACATGAACTTTTTCTTCAAAGAGAACTTACCATTGCTGGAAAGTTTGCTTCGCTGGCTTGTGCAGTACAAATTTTTGGTAGGAAATCAAAAATTCCTTAAAATAGAAATGACACCGAACACACATCCACATTATTTGCAAGTAGAACATAAAGTAGCTCGGTGTTTGTATTATTCTTTAAGTAAGATGGAAGACCGATGGGATAAACGGAAGTAAAAAACGGAATGTTTCGAAAAGTACAACATTCATGGAAAAAAAAATTTTATTAAAGCGAGGAGGCGATTCGACCAGTATAGTGGAATGGAAGTAAAGATGAACAGCTGATCACAGAGATTTTTATTTCAATCATACAATCGTTTTTCACCTTATTTTTGTTTATTTATTTTTCGCAGAGCATTTGCCCAGAGAAACGTCCGAGTAAATCTTGGACCAGGAGTCCTGGCAAACCTTTGATCAGTCAATCTGGATCTCTTTTTTGTCTTTTCGAGATTTTTTAGCAATGGCTTCTGATTTTTCTTGAAGTTTTTGATATTTTAAATTTGGTAATTTTAAGTTCTAAAATTTCATGTCCTTCATCACTTATCAACATATATTTACTTCATTTTTTATTAATACATTTTGTCTTCTTTTGTTGTCAACACGATTATTGCTTAACAAGCAATAAGTCGGTCGTCTATTGCTAGATAGTAATTACTAAATTAAGTTACTTAGAATTGCTTAGAATGAAAGCCGCTTATTTAGCTAATTTCCGCTTATTTAGCTAATGAATATTGTAACCTACTGAGAGGATGGAGATATTTAACGATCCTTTTACCATTCAGCTAATTTTATGGCTATTTCATAGAAGAAGAAATGTTTTTGCTTAATTCTCGAACAACTCTAAATTATTTACTATCCCAGTGAAGGATAAATGGTAATGGCAATAGTGGGTAAAAGAATTAGTAATCTTAAGTAATTGTCTCAAATTGTTTTATTGTTTATCATTGGTTGGAATGAATGATCAAACTTTGCCATTAATTTAAATGAAATTGTTTTGGTAAATTATTTTGGCAAATTTGATAAATTATAGAATTGGTAAATTACTAAATGTTTTGAATGGAATTATTAAATTGATCAATACTTTATAACGAATATTTTTCGTTTCTACCTCGCGATATTAACCTATAGAAAATTGTCTTATTACCTTTATTATTTTCTTTCGAAATTTTATGGAACCAATATTTGGTTCATTTCTGGATTTGGTTCGTGAATTACTATCGGAAATTATTATTATTTGATCGAATTGATACATAAACCTATTCTTCAATATCACCTATCCTTATAATCTTTCACCTGAGGTTTTTAAGGCTCTAACTGGTCAACCACTGAAGTATTTTATGCAAAAAAAGCGGTTAGAGCCACTCCACTCGCCTAGCGAATCAAATCCTATACGTGCATCTCCAATAGCAAACTGCCATCAGATAACTGTCACCGTCTTTCGGCATTGCAATTTAACGAAAAATTCATTTGCTCAATTAAAAAAAATTTCAGCAATGATAATGATAATGATTTGACTGAAAATATCGTTAACAATGACGTGATTTTCGTGGACAAAGAACTTTGACGACTTATTTTCTTCTTCATCAGAGTTTTATCGTCGTGAAAATGGCTATATTCACATCTATCTTTCTGATAAATAGTTTAACTGCATTACTGGTTAGTGCTAAGATTCCCATCGAACGAATCGTATTTCTCAAAATCATTTAAATAATTTTGCTATAAATATTTCTCCTCTTCGCCGAGGGTAGAGAAGCCGAATGGTGAAGTTATCGTCTTAGACAGACTGCATTTTCGACATGAATAAGCTTATCACTAAAAATATATGGTTAATACTGGTGAGCAATTTCCGAGTGACCCAAAAGTCCTTTGTTGCATTAATACTGACATTTTAGCACTAACATTTTACTTAATACTATCTTACTTAGATGCAGATTACTTACTTAGATTACTTGAATTTCACTTTTATAGACGTAAGTATCACCACTTCTTCAACCGAACCTATCCTTTAATAGTAGTGTTCCAATTTTTCTATAGCCACGTTTCAAACAAAGCCAATTTCAGGTTGCTGACCAGGATAAATCGTCATGCCTTAAGCGTTGTTTTCGTCTATATGAACGCTCATTAAATCGTATGGCACAAACGGTTGAAAATGTTCAGCGGTTATTGCCTCATAATTATTCCGCAGAAGATAAGAAGAAAATTTGTTGGTACAATAATTTTCCAAGTTTTTGGTTAAATTTATATCATTTATTTGCCCTAATTTTTTTATTATCTAAAAAAATACCAAAAATGAAAAAACAATTAATTGAATATCGTTCTGTAATATAAACTAAAACTTAGGAAATCATTTGATTTTATGGATTGTTCGCATCAGTGTGAAAGTTCCGACAATGCGAATGCAACAGATTTATCGAATTTCATAAAATCTAATTGCTTCAGTTTAATGAAAGGTTTATTACTACGAAATGTTTTAAGAAACTTTAAACCAATTCTCGACGCGGATATTTCTTGAGTTTGATTGAGCAATTATCCTAATTGTGAATAATGAACAAACGTTTTGTTTTATTATATTTTTTTGTAAAACCTATTTGCATCGTAAAGAACAGTGGAAAGTACGACTAAACTCCACCTTTTCTTTCCTCTGCAGGTGACTCGACGGTGAAAGACGGTTTCGTCTTAAGAGTCGTTAGAGTCCTCCAAGCCCGAACCGGTGAGTGCTATTAACAATGCACGAGTTTGAATATGCGAAATGTTTTCTTGGTCCACCTAAAAATTAGCAATCAGTTTCTGAGTGGCTATTTTTGCCTTCCAGGACTGCTTAATCGTCTCATATCAAATTTTTCTGAACAATTGTCCGTAATTCTTTTTTTAATAATATCCAACAATAATAATATTGTGCATTCAAATAATAATTTTCCTAAGCCTAAAGAAAAAATTATGTAATCTATGCCGGCAGCCCATAGTAAAATTTTCTATATCCGCAAGCAATATGATGGTAATAAATAGGCGAAAATAAATGGCACCAGAACATCGTCTCTTTCATTACAAGCAATTTGAATCTCTTTTGCTAAAATTTGGATGAAATCACTGCAAGCTATCCACCTTTAAGTCACCGATTTGTCGTTACGATGTCTTTGTCACATTCCAGACAGTTTACCAAAATTCGAATGTATTCGAAGGTATCACTCGTTTGTCGAAATACGGTGTTCATCACATCTTGATGAAGCAGTTCGTTTAAAAATCCAGATTAATGGAAGCACAAAAGAGATTTGCCGGTAAGTAAACAAAAGGAAAAACTTGTCGACAAAAAATGAATATTTATCCCACCGTTTTAATCACTAAAAAATATAAAATATTGAACATATTGCGGTTTTTAACCAACTATTATTCAAAAATGCGTCGTTATTTTATCGGATCAATGATCTGCCAGAAAACCTAATTCTTTTAGTTTAAATCGGAATTCTCAACACTGTTGTCCTTTTTTTCTTTAAGAAAAGTGCACCATTAAAAATTCATAAAGTGAATAAATAAAATACATTTAAGGCATTTTCAAAATCACAATGTATGTCTTTCACGAAACGTTAATTATTTTTGCCCTGAGGCATTCGATTTATTCACCGAAGAGAACCTTCAAAATTATTTTTATTCATATATCTTACCAAAAGACGAAGAAATTTTCAAGTAATGTTAATGTTTTAGTTTTCCACGAAGTATATTGATATTAATATTATATGAAATATATTAAAAATATGTAAGTTATGAGTGCTATGAGGTTTTATTGTTCAATAGCAAACGAGTAAGAGCACAAATTTCTCGCTGAAAATGGCTGCCAAAAACTCATTTTTTGTATCCATATTCATCTTAGTGAAAATTAAAATTATAGTATACTTAAAGTGTTCTTTAATTATAACAGTACAATTTCTGGTGATTCCGATGAATACTTAGGTACTTTTCTTTAGGGAGTTCCTTTGAGACAAAAATGCAAGTGGCGCATTCCATACGTCACAGATTCCACTTTTAATGATAGATTTATTTCTACTATTGTCCACTTGAATGTGATGACAGTGCGATGAGGAAGTTTAATCGAAGCAGCATACCTTTCGTAACTAATGACTTATAATTATTTCAGCGATGAATTTCTTCGTCAATGCCATATTTATGCGGTTGTGGAAAAAGAACAAATTTTTAAGGATATATTCAAATCAAAAAATGCCAATGATGAAGCAAAGTTGCAAAATTGGGTAACCAAGGTTTACTATTATAATGTCCATAAATTCATAATTCACTCTTGAAAATTTCTTTTAAAAATGACTATTCTTTGTTATTAATTATAATTAATATTTCAATATTTACTCCCTCTTCTTTAATATTTAATTACTTTTATGCATCGAAAGACAAACAGAAGCAAGCATTGCATACCTACCCGAATGATAAGTTGGCTGAAAAGAATGAGATTGGCGGATACGAAACAACATTTTCTGGTAAGAATGAATATCAAATTTGAGTTAAATAATAAATTTACTGGAAATATTAAATTTAAAAATAAATAACTTTTATTGTTTACGGCTTGCCAATGGAAAAAATATTAGTTAGGGAAATTTTATACAGGAAAAAATAACTTCGAAAGATGAAAAAATTTTTTGTGATCTTTCGAAAAAATAAATAAACGAACGAATGATCCTAAACTAGGGTAAATCCTATTAAATTTATTTTAACGCTAACTAGTTAATTCCAAAAATGATACATAAAATAAACAATAAACCGAGTTGTACTGAGAACTTACCTAATTTCTAACTTATCTTTAGGTACTTATCAAATGCATTTCGAAAAACCATATCAGAAATGGTGAAAATTTTAGAAAAAATGCAACAATATTAGAAATTATCAGTTTACATGAGAAACATCATCATGGTAAAGAACCAAAATATTGCAATATTTAAGTACCAAAATTATGATTTTGGTTTCAGAGGAAGAAATAGAGAATGAATCGTCGACACCAACTTATGCAATTACTACTAAAAAATTATTTTCACCTGATAATGACCTTCTATATTCACCACCAAATTTCTTTTATTCATCATTAAGATGGCGATCGCCAACTCCGCAAAGGTACATTCAATTTTCTGATATTCTTATCAATAAGTGTTTCAGTGCACTGAAACCTCACGTATTGCAGTTATACTCGACCCACTTTCAATGTTGATGATTTCGACTTCGGTGCTTCACGCGTCGATAATGTCAATGACAAGCACGACACATTATCATTCATGAACAAAGAAAGCTATGCGCTTAAACCTTTTTTATTCCTTTTTTGTATCCTTTATTTGATTTATCAATATTTGATTCAATCAATTTCGAAAGAAATTCTTAAAATTCTTTTATTATTAAATCTGTAAAAGAATTCAAAAATTAACTGTTTCATAAATTTCAGAGTACTAATTACGTAGAAAATAATTACAAAATGCGAGAAATCGAATCAAAAAATCCAGCTCACTTTCATGGAGCACAGAATGGTAGCATCCATATGGATAACCGACATCAACCAATAATTTTGCAAACAGCTAACCCAATATTTTCCTCCACACGCATTCATAACATCACAACTGCCGGTGCAGCACAAATTTCCACCACACACCAAACCGGGAAACAACTGGGCAATTCGGCAACTTCCACGTCACCCGAGCGATTTTTACCCACAAAACAAAAGTTGGGCAAACAGCAAATTCTTCTTATGAATGGTACTAAACATTATTTGAATGCAAAAAACAATAGGAATGTAAAATAGTTTGCTATTCAGATATGATTATACAGTTTACGCCTTAGTTTGACGACTTGGACGATACTTTTGACGTTTTCAGTGATGTGTGAATGTATGAACTTCCAATTCATTGTTTCATTATGTATATTAATGGGAAATTTACATATTCATTAAATACAAATGATAAAAATAAAAATATCAAAATGCCCTAAAGGCTATCAAATTACGTAAATTACAAACTTTGCACCATTAAAGGAACGAACAAATAATCAAAAATTATTTGAAAATTTTAACTTTTATTAAGAAATTTTTGATTTTGATGAAGAATTCTAAAACAAAACAAAAGACTTTTTTAAAGGAACGATTCAAGACAATGCTCAACACAGTAAAATACTTATTCGACCATTTGATACGTCATTTGAGGTAAATTATTAATGAACCATTAATTTATAAACTATCAATGATGATTTTGCATTATTAATCATCCACAGCCAATGAAAGGCACAATTTAAAAATTGCCTTCCAGCGAATTAATGCTGACAAATTATAATTGCCTAGTTGACACAAATCCAGAAAAATTTAGCCAGTGGCTAATAGATCAATTTCTGTTGGAATGGAAGCTGCTCACATTAAGAAACAAACAGATGAACGACCCACATTGCTTGGACAAACCATAATCTACAAAGCGCCGATACGAAAATATATTTCACCGGATGATCACCACCCTGCAGATGCAGGTGAAAACCTCAATATCCCTTAATTAATTTTTTGATCAGCTAAAGATCCCAAAAACACCAAGACAGAGTCCTATCAAGTAATTGCAGCAAGTAATTGCATCAACCAAACCAAAAATGGTGCTTGCCGTTAGAATAGTTTAAATATGTTTATAATTATTTTTTAAAGACTTCCAAACTTTCATCCTTAAAGAAATCTTATTATTTTACTGAAATATTTTAAGGAATATCTGCAAGCGATAACGAATGGACTGAATCACATTTACTTGCAATATATGCAATATTGTTGTCTTTGGCCATAACTGTTGCAGTTTTACTCATTGCTGCTTTTGTAGTTAATATGCAAAAATCTCACCAAGCACATAACTAATCGACTGAAAGGAAATGAATTATGTACATAAAATGAACGAAAGAACTAAACGATATACCAAAAAACGATATTTCCTATTTCCGATTTTTTGGTTCGGTGATTTTTTAAAACAAAATAAAGGTATAAGGTATTTCTAATAATGTTCAAGTTTAAAACATCAAAATAGACCAACCATACATAAATTCACCATCGAAATGAATCTTGCATATATATGATAATGAAAAACCAAAAAAGCAAATAATTTATAAATTATACAAATTTATTTCGCAAAAGTACTAATGATTATACTAAAAATTACAATCTGTATTAAAAAAAGAAGTAATACATCTGACCTTTATAAACTGCTTAACCCGAATTGAGAAGAGACAGAAATTCTCCCTATTCACAATAAAACTAAAGTTCAAAAACTTCTGCATCAAATAATTCGGATGCCAACTGTCAAATTAATAAAAAGTAAGTGTTAAAAGTTTTTATATTCTTCAACGCGCTAAAGTTCCAATCAGTGAAGCACACATTTCGAAAAATTGCATCGTTTGTGACTGTTTGGTGACGGTCGGTGATGGAGGCGGTGTTTGTTGATCAACCTGTAAAGCCTATTTACTCGCCTTGTAAGCAGTAAGAAATGTATTTTAAAAAAACGAAAATATAACCTCCATTGGCATTGGAAGTGATTGTGCACGACTACCACGAAAAGATGGCCTAACAGGTGTTGAGACTGAAGCATGACGAGAAGAATTTGCGCTTCCAGCTGTAACATGCATATGAACGTAATGCTTGATTTGCTAGTTGATAATGAAAAGTATAAATTATGAAAAAAAAAATTGAATTATTCAAGAACAAACCAGTTTCTTCATCCACAAGACTTTTAAAATCAAGAAGATAACTTTTTTGATCTACTTGATATAATTGCAAACTCATCTTTGGCTGAAAAAAATCCAAATCCAATCAAAATTTTTAAGAATAAGAGATATTTAAATATTAAAATGTAAGAAAACCAAATTATTAAAACCAAATATTAATTAACTAATTTCAAAAGTTATTAATTTAAAGTGTTGATAGAAGTGAAAAATCAGACAGGATTTAAAACAATGTACCGGTTCATAAGTTGGGTTTTCTGGCTTTTTCCGCACAATAACATGATATGGATTAAGAATCTTCCACTCGAAGTCAAGATTTTTCATAGCTCTGAATACCTCGTACATAATATCTTCTGAAAAAAGATGAGTGTGAAAAAAGTACGATTGTGAAAAAACCTCGAAATTACAAAATTCAATAATTTATAGAAATTAATGAAAAAACTAATACACCTGGTCGACTCTGACTACGAATTCCAAGATGCCATTTCGCCCTCTTGACATGCGGCGATTTTTGACCAGCTGGCACGACATTAGAAGAAGGAGAGCCAGACTTATCATTGTTACTGCTGATAGTTTCCAAATTCGGTGCAATTTTATTTGATGCTAAACAAAAACATCGAAAAAAGCGGATAAAAATTAGGATTTCCAATTTAAAATTTAAAAATAACAAAAAATTTCTGAAAAAATAATTCGATATTTCCAGATAATTTTAGATATTTATAAAAATAAATCTATTACATAAGAGAAAATCTAACCTGACATTCGTTCAGGATGGCGATGAGGTAAGTCTGATGGATGAATTTTCGCAATTGGTGAAACTTGATAAAATTCTTCAATGGACAATTTGGCAGCTAAAAAAAGAAAAAAAACCATTGATAAATTCCAATTTATAATATTCCTTATAAATATAAAATGGAAAATAATTTCAAACGATTTTTGAATATGCAAGAAATTTGATAATACGAACATAACAATAAAACATCTGAACAAACACGATATAAATTAAATTTTAAAAAGTAAATTTTAAAAAATGTAGTCCTAAAAAATAACATTAAAAAATAGTTAGTGTCAACCGATTTGATTTTTTCGACAATTTTTTTTTTAAGAAACATTATTAAAAGAAAAATCATCTAATTTACTTAAAAAAATATTAATAATAAATAATAAATACTTATAATAAAATAATATTTTATATTTTATAATAACATTTATTATAATAATAATAAAATAATAAATATTTCACATCTGATTGTTTTTAATATGATAATAAAAAATTCACAAAAAAAAGCATTAAGTTCAAGAAAAAATCGCTTGAAAGCATAATTGCTAAGAAAGATCATACTAGATTTCAAGCAAATTTTATTAATAGCAATAATGAACGAAGAAATGAACCTGGTGGATTTCAGCTAACATGCAAAGCAAAAAATTTCAAAAAGCAAAAAAATTTTGCTATATTGCAATTAAAAAATTTGACTAGAAAAGCCAGAACAACCATTTTATGATTCTAGGATGGAAAATTTGATGTTTTATGATTAAAGAAATTTTTGGAAAAAACGGCAAAGGAATGGACATTTAAAACATTCACAAAGACAATGACCAGAATATGATGCATCGACAAATATTTCAGATAAACTATAAAAAATCAAAAAATAATAAAACACTAGGACATATAATGGAAGGAAATCGTATAAGAAAAAAATATTAAGTTTTGCAAAACTGGTGACCTACACTGTTTATTAGGAGAATTTTTCAGGATAGCAGCACCCACTGTTCCACCATGTGAAAAAGAAGAAGATCCACCAAATATACAGCCTTTTGTTCCATACTGAGGACACAAATCACAAAAAGCCAAGCTTGCCTTTTGACGCCCAAATAAACATTCCTTGGCACCCCATTTGGGGCATTTGTCGCAATCAGGCTTGCAATAAAGCCCCGTATAAAATCTGTCTCGGTATTCGCAAAAATGCTGAGGGCGAGGTGAACGAGGATGAATGACGACTGTTTCAGGCAACGGTGGAAAATAAATCTGATCTTTCCAGTGTATATTTTTTTCTATCGTTTCAGATACGGAGCGCCGCTGCCGCTGAGGTTTTACTTGGCTTTGTTTCGATTTATTCATCACCATATTCATTTCCTCATCATCCAACTGTTCATCCCATGCACACACTGCAGCAAAAGCATTCTTTGACATAGATAATTCCGATTTGCCCTTGAAAACATCTCAAAATCATTCCCCTCACCTTACCCTTTCCTCATATTTTCAAAAGAATTGGAGAAGAATTAAAGAAAATTATTAAAATTATATAATTGTTATTTTACAAAATGTAAGCGCTGATCCATGTTATCTGATATCTTATAAATTAATCAACCGTTTTCAGAAAAAATAATGTTCAAATAATCATTCTCTACACTGTCAGAACCAGAATGACTAAATGTTAATAGTTTCGATTATTACTTTGGATACCAAAGTTAGGCCTATGGCCAGAATTAAAATTTAGCAGTGAAAGATCTAAACAGTTCTAGAAACCACTTGTACTTTTATTCCTATGTAATTCTCCAGTAAAAATTTCTTTAACCTATTAATAGTCAGAGTTTAACCGTAAATAATGGAGCTAACCACTGAGCAGTTGCTTATTCTTTTTAGCAAAAATTATAACTTAAATGAGAAAATTTATGTAAAAGATATCATAATTTAACAAATAACTTTCAAAGAACTACAAGAACTTCGATGCACTTAAAAAATGAAAGAGAGAAAAGCAGAGAAGGAAATGCAAGCTTCAACAAAATCATTCTTAATTATGTAGAGAGTCCATATAGCTGAAATTCGATCTTGCTATATGGATGCGAAACATGGCCAATGAGAGTGGAAGATATTAGGAGGCTATCAGCCTTTGACCACTCTTGTCTAAAGAACATTTTACGGGTCCGTCGAGCGGATAAAGTATTACATGATCACATTCATATCCACCTTCGCTCAAATACCACCTGTATTAGTAATGTTATCACAGAGCGTCATCTTCGCTGGTTAGAGGACGTTCTCCGTCGTCCACCACAGAGCTGACACATATTTCATTACTTAACCCTGATATTTGGCGCCAAAAGCGAGGAGGACCAGTCAAGACTTGGACTGATACAGTCAGGAAAGATTTTGAACGCATAGGGGGATCAACGATATATGGACTTAGACAGTGGAAAGGAATGGTTTCTATTACCACTAGCAATGGCATCGGATCGAGCACCTTGGAGACCCTTGTAGCCAGAGGAGCCAGCCTAACCAGTAATGGCGAGAGTTGTTAGAAAAAGAAGAATGAACTGCAGTGAATGACTTATCAATTATGGATTATTTAAAAAGTTCGAATCGTTTTGTGTCGTTTATTTGGGAGCAGCACAACTACTGGAAAGCAATTTTCCAAGTAAGCACCAACGTTTAAGGTTTCAGATTGCTGGAGGAAATTTTCCTACTTCCGAAACTTTCTTTTGATGAAATCTAGTGAGATAAAAGAGGACTTCAATATTCAACAAATTTTTGCCAAATGAACCTTATGTTGTGCTATTTAAATGCAGATGGATGAGATATTTTTTTTCAGCCAGTACTGATCGATATTTCTGTGGTTCTGGTTCCGTTTCCAATTTTTCATAATAAAACTAAGCTATAATCGTTATAATTATAGTTTTAAGAAATAGATTAATTCGATAATTGACCACTAAATAGCATACATAATAGTATGTAGTCTTGTATGTAGTCTTTCTTGAGTGATTAAATTTTGCCATGGATATTCATCGTTGTCCAATCACTACATTTTTTCAGCAATCATATAGAATCCATTTTTCATTACAAGTAAAAATTTGCTCAAGAAAAGAACTTTTTTTGATATATTAGCAGCAAAAAACACATATCCTCATCTTACTCAGTTCATCTCTTCCCCTTAATAGGAAAGTGATTCTATACAGAACACCATGTGAAATGTCAAGCCCTTAGGCTAAATCAACTGTGCATGACGTCCTAGGATCAGCTTTCATCATTTATTTAAGGGATTCATTTTAGAACTTAAGTACCAATAAATGAATTGTTTTCGAGATCTACACTCCCATTCTTACAGAATTCTTTCTTTAGAAGTGCTGTCACCAAAAGATGTATGCATTATGTCAAATTTTGTAGAGAATAACTCAGAAAGAATTGAAGAAACTAATTTCCCTGTGTTACAAGGAACTCAAGGAAGAACGATATACCGTTGCTAAATTGGCGCAACGATATTATTCAGCCCTAAAGCAAGGGACATAGAAGCCATGGAAACGGCGAGAACTTTTGGATGACCCAGCATAATTTTTGGGATTATTTAAAGCACGATTCAATTGACAAAATAATTCAATTGATAAAAAATGGCAAAATTATGAAATTATATAAAATCATAAATCACTTACTTTCATCTGCAATGCGTTTGTTGTCTACAATTAAATTATACGCTATACTCAAGTGATGATGAGGATCATCTCCCAGTAAAGCATTCGTAACGTCCTCTTCTAATACTCCATAACGCTAAAAAAAAGAATATGAAAAGGAATAAAGGAATAATAAAGAAAAATCTTAAGTAGAGCAATCTTCCTGGAAAATGCACACGAACTATCCAACAAAAAAAAAATCTTGAACAATTACTCGAGTAACTTCTTTGACTGCTTCTATATCAACAATTGATGCTTCACTTTCATTAATTGGCGGAAAAAGATAAGCCGGTAAATCTTTCTGAAACCATTCGTGTTGTCTGAAAAGGGCCAGACGAATATAATATGCTCATAAGAAAACTTGAAGAAAATAAAGGAACTAATCATTCTCTTAGATCATAATGAATGGCAGCTGTCTCTCGGCTATTTTCTCGGCTATTTATATTCGTTAATAGAAAAATCGAAATCAAAGTTAAAATGAATTAATATGGCCAAAATTATTATAAAGCATTACTTACATAACATCTTTGATGGTCGCGCGTTTCATAGGATCCACTTGAAGCATATGAAGTAATAAATTAACTAAAGGTTTTTCTAAATGATCCGGAATGGGGAATATTCCAGCTGAATTTCATTAAAATAAATATTCCTTATTATATGAAAAAAAATTTAATAAATATAATAATTTAATAAAATAACTTTTAAAGCAAAAAAATTTCAAAGGGATAAACAAAGAATAAAAAACTTTACATTTTATTTTGCGGAAAAGAGTTGGAACATGCTCATCGTCGAATGGCAATGTTCCACAGAGTAGCGCATAAAGTATAACGCCACAAGACCATACATCCACTTCAGGACCTGCATACAATCTAAAACAAATAGTGTCCAAGAAAAAAAAAATTCAATTGAAAGATATACTTGTACTTATTTGCTATACTATATAATGGCAATAATTAGATATACTTACTTGCCAGAGATCACTTCTGGTGCTGCATAATTTGGACTACCACAGCTTGTCCTCAAAAAATCGCCATCAGTCATTATATTTGAAAGACCTGAATGTAAAACATAAAAATTTAAGAATTTTAAGGAAGTGAATGAGAGAACTTATAAAAAGAATTTTAAAAAAATGAACCGTGAACAAATTAAAAAACTTACCAAAGTCAGCTATTTTCACATTATTCTTGTCATCAAGAAGTAAATTTTCAGGTTTTAAATCACGATGGACAACCATATGACGATGACAATAATCTACACCGGAAATTATCTGTTGAAAAAAACGCCGAGCTTCGGGAGTCTTCAACTAAAAATAAAAAAAATTTTTCAATCAGAAAATCAACCGCTAAAATTCTAAACTGAGAAAAAATCAAAATGAAATAACCAAAAAAAAACAAACTTTTCCACGCTTTACAATATAATCAAAAAGTTCGCCGCCTGCTACATATTCCATCATCATAAAGATATCAGTTGGAGTACTTATTACTTGATATCTAAAACATATGCAAATATTATGCAAATCAAAAAATAATTTTACAAATTTTTAAATTGAGTGTTAAATGAAAAGTTTTTCCTTATTGCTAATTCAAACTCATAAAAAAAGACATTTTAAAAGGAAAATAGAAAATAGAAACATCATGGAAACATCAGAAATCGGAAAAAATTTCCTCAAATTTTGTGGAATTTTTTAAAATACCAAATGATCAATCTTCATAATTTTTCACCACCCAAATCAAACGAAAAACTATTTCAAAATAAAATAAAATCGACAAAAAATAATCTTAAACTTCTACAAAAATATGCATTAAAAATTTTGGAAAAAAAGTATTTTTTAAAAGAATATTCCCGAATGTAATTTTAAAACATACAAACGGATGATATGGGGATGTCGAAAAAGTGATAAATTTTGAATTTCTCGACGAATTTTTCCAACAACATCAAGCGTTTTGATTTTCTGCCGATTCAAAATTTTTACTGCTACCTTGTAATTTGTTGCTTCATGAATGCCAACTAAAAATCGTAGACCTAATAAGCATTCGTCAAAAAACACAAATCAGCTAAGTAATAAAAAATGTAGCAAACCAGAATAAATAAGAGTCTTACCGCCAAACTTAATCTGAAATGAATTTAAAGAGCTCTATTATTCGAAAAAGATAAGTATTCTTTTTCGAGGTGAAGAATCATAGTCGTAATAGAATAATGCGAACTGGAACACCATAAGAATTATAGCAAATTTTTTGTGGTTATGAGCCAAAATAAGACAAATTATTTAAGCATAAAACTGCAACTTACCTTTAACTTTGCCGAAAGTCCCAACACCTAACGTTTGATGAAGAATATAATGGCCGATTTTTATTTGTGGCTTCGCTTCTCGATCTTGTTTTGTTAGCTCAGTTGAAGCCATTTTCCTAGAAAAAATTCAACGTTAATATTTTAATATTTTTGAAAAGAAATTAATTTCCGACCAAAAGGAAAATACATATTCGTTTTAAAAAAAAAATGAATAATTTATTTTATGATAAAATAATTTAATCTTAGAATATCTCTTAAAAAAGTTGCTATCCTCGGTATTTAAGAGAAAATGCGGCACTCCCTCCCAGAAAGCCGCGTAAAACGAAGCCGCGTAAATGGCGTTTTATCATGTATTCTTTTCATAAAATCGATGTATGATCGCGGTTTCGTCAAAACAATAGCGTCATAAATCAATTTACAAAATTTAAAAATACTTTTAAAGAAATAATAAAACGCTGACAGAAACCAATCGATAACAAACAAGCTAAAAGAAAAACGAAGCAGTAACTTTGGAAAACCAGGAAATATTTAAGAAAAATTTTTCGCACAAAAACACAATTTCGTAAAACATGGCAAGTTGCCAAATAAACCAACGATCCCTCTTTTTTACAAAAAATTCAGCTAAATACGGAAAAAAAGAAGAAAATTATAAACACCGCGTGAAATAAAATTGGATAAATAATTCTTATTGGAGAAAATTACACTAAAATAAAATCGAAATGGACAGAAAAATAAAAAAACCAATGAATAGAAATTAAGGAATTGCAAATATTATTCATTTATTTCAAAGCAATAAAACACATTTATTATTCACGTAACGAAATTCGATGAGAAACGTGAAAGGGCACGGAGATGACGCGTGAATAAAAACTGTGAGAATAGGATTTTAGAAAATGGAGGAAAAATTCAGCGAAAAATTTAGAACGATTCCCTGGAATTGAGATGATCCTAAACTGACTTCCAGCAGATATCCTTGGCGAGCGCCCCTCTCCCCCAATGACCTTCCGATGACCTTTAGACGACAAATTCGTCAAAACATCACTTAAAAAATACTGGCAGCGTTACGGCAATAATACGGCCATGTGATTGAGATTTGTTTTATTCTTTTCTATAGTTATTTTCTATAGAAATTGTTTCGTTCTTTGCTTCTTTTTCTCATTGAAAATGTTAAAGAATCAGAGGAATTTATCTGACGAAAATATAAATGAAAAGGAGAAAATGGGAAAATGGGAAAAGAAAGGAAATACCAAATAACTAAAGTATGAGAAAAAGGGGACAGAGATTGGTACCACAGCCGGTTTCATCGACTATTCATACAAGGATTTTTGCCGGAGTATTACTTGAGGGCAAACACAAATGGACCCTCGCCAGTAGGATTCCAGACAGATTTATCCAGGAACACCAGCCAAATCCACATTTCTTAATATCGGCCGAAGCAAAATGCTATGCAATTAATCAACTGCCGTGTGCCTTTTTGCTCTCTTTCTTTTCGGAGATCACCTACTGATTTGGCTACTTCCACTGATAACAGCTGATGTGAAACTGCTTTACCAGAGAATTACTTAGGCATAAAAGTACAGAAATATGCTTAGCACGGCATGTTTAGGATTCGGACATATTTATTCTCGTCAAAGGAACAAAAATCGTATCAATATTTCACCTTAGTGCTATCCGCAAAATATCAAAAACAATGAATATTATTTACTTGTTTTCCTGAATTTTCGATGAAAATCGCTGTTGATAAGTTGATAAAACTTTATCAAACGTATTTGGTTGACTTCGACTTCGTTTAAATGGATTTTTTGATTTCATTTTTCGTCCTTTTTTTGTTTTACAATCGCAAAAATATAATATTTTATATAAACATTCGCTTATATAATAAATTATTTTATTATTCAACCTGAAAAATTGAATTTTTAAAAAACAAAAAAAAAATATTTAAAATTCCATAAAGAAATACAAAAATTATTTAGTAAAAAAGTTTAATTTTATTCAAATATTCAAATATTTTCAAGCAAATGAGATCATTGTGTTCTATCAGTGAGCACTGATTCTGATTTTGCTAGTTCCATTGACTATTAGAGTGCTTAAATGGGCCAAAGAGGTGCAATTGTCTAGCAGCCAACTGCATATCACTTTTAATGACAAGTTTAATGGCATAAAGTGGTCAGGAGCCTACCGTCAGCCGACAGCTAAAACATCGCCAGGGCCTTCGGGCATGAGTTAATGCAAATTGCGAATGCTCAACACTTAAATCCAAGCTTCCTATATATATATATATATATATATAGCACTCAATATTAGCAGAGAACACGATAGCCGAATGGACAGTGGTTTTCGAAAAGGAATTTGCGCATCTATTCTGCAATAAAAATAAAAATTATAGAATAACGAATGAAAGAAATATGGCAGAAAAACCTGGGCAAAATTAAAAAATTTGGATAATAAATGATTGATGGCGAAACTGCTAAACATCGTAGATCAAATTAAAATAAGAAAATAGAAAATATATAAAGTTTATTGATCGAATACAACTTAAAAATTGACTGAGAATCCATTAAATCGCATGTTATTTTGTGGAACCATTTCTGGCTTAGCTCGGTTATACTGTAGTTCACTGTAGTTCAATTTTATAGATTTTTGCCATGAAAACAGTCATTAGTGTTAAGTGTAGATAGGTGGGTGGATCACCAACCATTCGGATTTTTTAATAACTGCTTTATTTCTCTCTGGAACAAAAACCGAATCCTTGCGTCTTAGTATCGTAGTTTGAACGTTTCATTCACTTGTTTATCCTATCTTTGTTGTGAATGAGGGAAAGGAGGATAATCTTAAAAGTACCACTGTACTGTAAAATTCCTAAATTTATAGAAAAATAATGGTTAATGGAAAGATTTTTTCATCATTAGCATAGAATTATCAGAGGAAAAAATGAGAAACCTTTTACTTCATAACATAATCAATTTGATGATTGACGTTTGATTTTAGCTAATACAATATTTTTACTAATCTTTTAAATATTCTAAGTATTTTAGATATTCCTATGAATTTTACAATATTTTAGCCTATGTCCTAAAATTTCTGGTGGTTCTATTATTGTTATATTAATATAAACAATGCATATACGTAGGATTCACCTGGTTTTCATCATTGTTAGTGACAGACATTATCAACTGCGATTTACGTCTATACGTCTATACGTCTATCCGTATGAAATGTAAAATTTTATAACTAATCACCGCAGAATCATACTGAACTGCAATTTCGCTTTTGCCACTGTTCATGTAAAAATTTCACGCAAATTTTGTTAAAAATATTTTTCTCTCACATAAATCTCATTTTATTGTTGTCTCTAGCGAAAATATATGAATATTTAAATGTCCATATTTGAAGCAGGAATTATCTCGCCACAAAATGGTTGTAATGGTTCTCTACGACTTATATTTCTCCATGACTTATCTTTCTCTTGGCAGAAGTGAAATTTCTGCACAAATATGACATCCAACTGATGTTAGGGAGCCATCTATACGTCTATCCGTATGACATGCGAAAACTAAACAAAAAACCATTCAACCAAAAAATAACTGTATGACAAACACATTTAGTTATAAATGAGCTTATTATATCATTTCCTTTTTTCGTTATTAAATTCAGAAGTGAATTTGATAAATAATGATTTCTTCATTAAATCTTAAATCCAGTAGCAAATTTATTTAATAACGAAAAATATATTTGTTGATTTCTTATAAAGCACTTAAAGGTTTTCAAAAGGTTTCCTGTATAGATTTTCCCTTATGGTACTTCATTTTTTGATAATAAATTTCGCATTAGAGGCCTATTGATTTACGGGTCCAGGCGGAGGACAAAATAAGTTTTCGTTGGTTTCAGGCCTGGTTTCTGGCGAGAATCCCTAGAAGCGCTTTAACTTTATGTTCCATAGAGCCAGTGAAATCAGAAAAATCAAAAATGCGGACTGTTATAATGAATAATTATGAAAATTAACTTTTTATACAATAATTTCAAATTTATTTGTGACCATTAGCGAAGAATAAATAGTTCCATCATTTTTAAATACGCGAATAATTAAATTGATTATAAATATTATTCAAAATAGATCACTGATTTCCAATAGAATGATGTGCGATATATGCATAATTTATCCCAGGCATATTAAGATTTATGGAATGTGCAACTGCTTCCCCTCTACAAGGAATCTATAATTAACTCGATGATGGACCACTGGCACTATCCCAACTAATTTCTTCTCATACGCGGAAAATTAATCAATTACACCTTGGCCAAGAATTTTTTGACAAATTAAATTGCAAATTGCAAATATTTTCTTCTCCTTAAAAAGCATCCATGTTGTGAGGCGAGCACTATGTTACTATGAACATGAAAAACTTTTCTAAATTTCTATCCAGCTACAAAAAAAAAGGAAATATGGTTATCTCCTGGTGCAAAAAAAGAGGCAACAAAGTACACCAATAATTTTATAAGTAAAATTTTAAAAAAATTTTTATTTATAAATTTTAAAGTTTTTAAAAAAATTTACCTATCAATTAGAATTTAAAAATTGTTAATGATTATAAAATGTGAGGAACTAATTCGAAATCTTTTCTGAGAAGTCGGTTTAGTAGCAAATACCACCCGCAATTTTTGATGGAATAGGCTTCTAGAGAGCAGAGATAGAATCCTTGTGTTCTCTCAGTATCGCGAACCACCATCCGCTTAGTTATTTTGGTCGGCAATTTCATAAATAATAATAATCAATTTGTTTTGTTGAATTAATCTATTTAATTCAAATTAGTTAACAAATGATATGATAAGATTTATTTTTTGATTTATTGATATACGACGACCACTGAAATTTGAAACAAGCATATAAGTTGGAGAAGCATTTTGAAACAAATATATAAGTTCCTTATGTTTCCTTATATTTAAAAGATATTTGCAATTTTCCATTTGAAGAAAATCATCATCATATATTATTACTTTTTTTCATATTTCGCCAGATGAGATTTGCTTCTGGATTAATTTTCAAGTCCAATTTTATTCACCTACCTTTCTGCACAGGAAAACAAGCTTTAGGTGGCGTATAGGTATTATCATTATCAAATAGGCTAATCTTGAAAGATCCTTAAAAGATAAGTTATGCCTTATAGGCATCTTTGTCTTATCAAATGGACAAATCTTTAAAGATCCTTAATTCTTTGCATATTTCATTTCAATTTATTTCAGAGTCACTGAATTTATAAATATTTGAAAATATTTTATCACTAATTCTGCTCAAAAAATTGATTTTTTAGACTTTAGTTTATGGATTTTCATTATAAATGGCCATGTTTCCCTGTTGGAACCTTCTTAATTCTACTTTTCGATTTCACAGTTCATCTGACAACGAACAACCATTTACTTGCTGCTGAAAGGTTAAATTTTGGTTAAATTTAAAAGGTTTAATTTTGTGTTTATTCTCGCATATATTAATTAAATTAAATATTTTAGAATGAAAATAGTTTGCAAATTTTTCTACCAACCGCTTGATTCATTTATATATTTAATGGTTAAAATCAGTTTATTTAATCTTTTTTTTTTGTAGTTTTCTCAGTCATATTGGCTAATATTTAATATTTAAAATATTTTAATATTTAAAAATTGGTACATTACCACATAGGGCAAAATTTTGAACTTAAATTTTGCATTAAATTTTAGATTGATAGTTCTCATTAAATAAACGACACCTATACCGAATCTGTACCTGAATCTGTATCTGAAGCTTTAGTGTTTTAGTGTTTATTTGATTGGCGTAGGAGACGCAAGAAAATTTATGAACGCGATCTTCGAGGCAAAGAAGTCGGCAAAAGTCGGGAACTAAGCTACCCACAATTTTCACCATATCCAAACTGCATAAATTTTGGAAAAAAGTTTCATTGCTTTTTAGTTTTCCAAATGAGAAAAATTTGTGAAATAGCGATTCATTTTAAGAAATATTTTTTTAAAATCACCAATTCCAATTTCGTAATTTCAGATTTATCTGTGAATCTAATTTTCGAATGCGTAATATTAAAATTCGCGCTGTTGGAATAAAATTGAAAATTCTCTTAATTTGTTTCGCTAAAAAAATTGCATCGAAAAATTCTAAATTCTGAAAAATGCGATACAAACATTGATATTTCGATCATTTTATTTGTATAAATTGGAGGAAAAACACCGAGAAATAGAGTTTTAAAAAGTTGTCCGATGGTTTTTTTTTCGCAATTTTAGAAACGTGAAAAGAAAAGAATGTGACCAATACAAGAATATTCCCTAAATATTCATATTAATAGTGCCGTTTAAGAAAAAATTTCCGCCCCAAAGAGCTCTCTGTTACGGATCCTTACTATTCATCCACTTTTCATACTGTAAGAAAATGTTATTTATTTAGCTTTTATCCAGGTCCGCAATCTAGTTTAGCCTAACGTGTCCTTTTATTTATTCCATCGGTTTAAAGCAAATTTAAATTTTCAAACTGTTTGTTGGCATAGATTGTTATTAATTAGTACTGTCGCTTGGTATTTTGAGATATTGTGGATCCAAATTCTGCCGCACCACTGGATTGCTGGAAGTGATAAAAAATTGGGTCATATTTGTCGACCTCAATAAGTGGTACACGAAATCCGAAAAGTATTTTTGATTATTTATTCATCTTTCTATTGAGAAGATTTCTAATCAAAGGATTATTTGCAGAATAATTATCCATCAACATTCAACTGCATATTCATGTTAGAAATATGTTGTACATTTCAATTTATTTCTGCAATGATCTTTATCAGTCAAATATTGCTATCATTACAATGCATGAGTAAGTTAAAATTTCTTCAATAGATCCAAAATTCAGCTATAAAATTTTATTTAATTTTTGCAGATTGTTAAAGTGAGCAAACAAATTTTTATAAAGCCGAATGATAGATGGATGATATTTTAAGAAAAAATAATTTTGAATAATTTAAATCCATTAGAAAGGTTGTTTGGTGGATATATAAGACTTTCTGGAAATTAATATCATTTAAACTTCTGGCATTTTTCTTCTTTTAATAGCACAAACCCAAATAAATGAGCACCTTTCGACTATTTTGAGATAAAAATAAAATGGATCTCTAACATCCGCCACTCGGATTTCACTTATAATGGCAGATTTACTCTTTTTAAAGGACAAAGGTTGGACCCATGCTATTTGGCTTTAACCACATCTAGCTCAATAATTATGTTCCTTTTTTCAAAATGCTTTTTTAGATGACACTGAGTTTTCTTCAAAAAGAGTTCAGCAGTTGTTTTTTTAAAATTTTCTGAAAAAACTTTGCATGAACTTTTCGAAATAAGGGATCATTCAAGCAGCAAGCAGTCAGTTCGAAACTTAGAATAGTTGGAAATAAATTCTTCGTGCTAAATTTGTTCAACAAATTTTTAATAAATTATCTTGAAATCTTGAAATTTATTCAATTTGGATTGATTATTTAGGATGTTTAATGGAATTTTCGCTGGAAATTTTTGTTTATTTCATTTTCCCTTTAAAAAACTAAAAAACATTGCCTTCGGAAATGTCGTACCCCGCTTATGTGGATGCATTTTTGCTTAAAATAGGCTATAACAGAAACGATTGTCTTTTCAATTAATGGAAAATCTCGAGTGCAAATATGTGGCTAAAAATAGGTCAAACAGGCAATCAGCCATATGAATCTTCAACATTTCTGATTCTCATTTTGCTTTGATTGCATAGTCTTGTACCTTACAATGATATTTCATAAGATTTTAGAGGTGCTTTGGTCCTGCTTTTTATTTATTGCTCTTTTAACTACTTCGTAAAAGCCACGAATCAATCGTATTCATAAAGGCGTCCTCATTTTTTCACTCCGTCTGTGTGTTTTTTAATTAAATCATTTTTTTTCGGTTTTTTGACCATTTTGTGCAGAAACACATTATGTATTTTGTTATGTCAATCTTCTAAATGGTCGCTATTTGAACTAATAAATTCATATTACTCCTGAAATCAATTCCCACTCAATGTATCTTTACTAATAAAGTAAGGCAAATCATAGAAAATATTCACATTCATGCAATAAATAGTGATTAGTGTGGTAGCTTATATCTCTTTTTGATATCAAGCCTGGCCATATTGGCCAGCTTGTCCTCTGTGAATTTTAATTTATGGTGGAAAAAAGTTGGAAATATGGAAAATGTGTATATTGTGCAGGCTTTGTACAAGAACATACCTCGTACCTTGATGTATATGGCTGTTATGTTGTCTATTCCTATCCCTGTTGTTGTCCTGACCTATCTTAATTTTTAAAACCAGACGTTTTTCAAATGACGGATTTAAAAAATTGTTATGGTTGTACTAAAATATGATAGTAAATATGAAAATATGATAATGACATGACCGAGTGGTTTGTTATTTCTGCGAAGGTCTCACGCATCATAATCCCTCTTAGCGGAAGTAAATCTGTCATTAAAAGAATAATCCAAGTGGTGCTAATTTTATCCTCTCTACGGCTCTCTGGTAAAGCAATTTTACTCTTATCAATCAGTGGAGCCAGTCAAATTAGAAGAAGAAATAGCAGTAATTCAGTTAACCTCTGAACTACTGAAATTGCTAAATTATTTAAACCAAATCTAACCGAATTTCTTTTCTTCAATTTCTTACATTTTCTTCATCAACAAATCTGCATATATTTACATATCAGGTAGCAGAACCTGTCCATGCAATTATCTAAGCCATTGTCCCTGCAATTCAGTATCAGGTTTCGAACACATTGAGCATTATAATGCTCCTATCCGAACAAGTTTTTTGCTTTTATTATTTCTTTCACAATCACTTAATCTCAAATAATTATATATTATATACATATAATTATATAAGACGTTTTAAAATTTGGATTTAAGTTAGAAGAAATAAGTGATTTTCAGTTATCATTCATTATCTCGATTTTTTTGTCACTTATGTACCTTTTGATTTCAGATTTCTATGCAGCTTCGCTTCCCCAAGTTCCCTATCAGCCAGAATATTATTATAACACTAGGCCAAAAATTCGGCCAAAGGAAATTCCGTCTGATAATTTAGCTCCAAATCCACAAAGTTGGGAGCGATTCGACAGTCTGCGGCAAGCATCTTTATTACTGCAATATTTGGAACTCAGCCAAATGTTCTATCCCTTCTAGATACTCATTTTTTCCTGAATTCTTCCCCGTACTCATTACGATTATTATAGTTTTGTAGCTCCAACCGATAGCTCTTTTTTTTCTCCAAAAATTTATGATATCCTGAATAAATGAATAAAGGCGTATACTTAATCTAGTGCTCCACCTATCTATGATTTGAAAATTCCTCATGAAAATTTTATAAATTTTTTACGAAATGGTGATTAAAACATTTTGCTTTACCGCCATATTATTTTACCTTAAGCTTGATTTCAGTAATATGGCAATAGAACAAATTCCCAATGAACAAATTCAAGTGAGTGCAAGTAGTGTCGAAAACGAGGTCAACTGGGTTCCTTATGACCATAAGGCCCGTAACTGATTTTCATTTCTATATTCTATATTTATAAAGAAAATGATTCTCTAAGTTTCATTGGTAACCTATTCTTCTAGGCATTTATAGATGGGTTGGAATCTTATATAAATATTAAATTCTAAGGAATAAATCATAAATTAATTTCTAGAATGGCAATGATGAAACAGTGGTTTTTCCAATTTCGACTCCAAATTATACGGAAAGGTATGAAGAAAAATTAGAGATTGGTATTTTGCCGAATAACATAACGGAAAGACTGAATTTCGAGCCTGAAACCTATAATCAAGAAGCTCTAACAATAGCTTCTAACAATCCTTCAATTCGTACTACAGCGAATATTCAAGATTTCATTCCGGAAACCTCCTCTCAGCAAAGAAATATGAATGGTCAAACCGAAGCAGTTAGCAAAATCGATGAATTAAATTATTATTCGCCACATTTTGCTTATGACATTAAAACAGCAAACGATTATAAAAAGCCTATAGCATATAAAAATCTTCATAGACATCCTAAAGAAAAATCCACGGTAAATAAAAACGGATATCTCGAAATTATTAGGAAGCATCCAGGAAAAGGACCAACTGAAACTTTCATAATTTATTATCATCAGGTAATATTTTAATGCAATGATGGTACGATCATTTCTTTAGTCCTTCTAGTAGCACTTAGCTGACTACAAAGATAAAAGCTTTTTAGGTCTCTTGGTCTGATACCATATCTAAAAATAACAAAAGCCACTGCATTTTCTAATGCCTAAGTTCATAAACGTCCAAATTCGGTTTTGGTGGTACCTTTCGGTTTTGATTAGGGTCTATATTGAATTTTTACATCAGAAAACCTCGTATTAGAAAAATGTGCGACAAGTAACGAAGAACTGGACCTAATCAGCGTAAGCGATGTTCTGTGAGGATATTGTCTACGTTGATGTCATTCAGGACATAATTAAAATCCAAATAATTTCTAACAATTCCTAGATCTGTACTGGAGTGATACTGGCTTTTTCAAGTTCAGAAACAGTAGATTCTGCTGCAGAAAAATGTTTGAACTTAAACTGTTCTGCCGTAAATGCAAAGCCAGTCGGTTATGGTTTTTATGATATAATATTCCTCAAAAAAGCGAATGGTAGAATTCATAGAAAGGGTTCTCACTGCGTATCAGGCAAGTTACATATATATATATATATAAATAAAAAATAAATAACAAATTCCTTTCTCACCTGTGGATGCTGTGGACAACCCTCGGCTTCTCTGGCAGGTCTAGGAATTTGGGTTGGTTGTTTATTCTACATTTTGTTTTGATCTTTATATTAATATCTATGCTTTATATTAATATCTATACTCTATCTTTATATCTATACTTTGCTTCCATAATGCTTTGAAAAAATTCTGAAAAAATCATTTCATCAGACTTCAATATAGAAAAAACTTTTTGAATGAATAGGGAAGGGGAGATATTTGTATTTATTCAGATAAGATGAGACCTCGAGTTGGATTAATTATCCACATTCAGATTCAGATCCTTTGATTTGTTACTGAAAACGCTTTTAGCTAGTGCAGTTGACGAAAATCGTCGAAGATCCGTTCGGAAGCACCGCAAAACTGTCCCACCACTCCAACACAAGGTTTGCTTAAAAATATAATTCTCTCAAAGATAGATTTACAAATTTACATTTCAGTATATTCGCCGGCTGAAAAAATTATGAATTATGCAATGAAATGCAGAAAGCGAAGATTTCAATGGTCATTTTGCATTTTACTTTACTTATTTTACTTTCAGTCGAAAAATCCGAAAATATTCCCTTTTCAATAACGGATTGCAAAATTAAAAGCCCTTTTTATATTTACAGTTTATGACGATACTTGTAATATAATCTTTTCGCTGAATATATTTCGAAAATGAAAATTTTATTGCTATAAAATAATTAATTGTGAAAAAGACGAAAGACATTCTAAAACTGCCTAGCATTAGTGGTTCTCCTAGTTCCACTGGCTATTGGCTATTGGCTATAAGGATGAGGCACTTCCGCGAAGAAAAGAATTCTAGTAAAAAGGGGATATATTTTTATATATATAGCGTATTCTTATAAAAGAAATCTAGCATTTGACATTTATTAGCATGTATCACTTAAGTGGTGGATATTTTTTCCATTAATAATTGCCTTAGAATTGTGCTGCAAAACTAGTACTACCCGTATGCATTTCTACTGTCAAATGACTCACTAGCGAAAATTTCTAATTGTGCTAACAGCGAATGGAACTAACCTGGACAGAAATAATGAGCGCTAATCACTTACAATGATTATACAAATGTGGTGTTTTTCTTCATTTCAGTTTTGAATCTCAATTTTTATTTTATGGATTGATTTTAATTTTATTTTGATTTAATTATTGCTGAATTAATTATTACTGTTATTATTCAGATTGATTAGTTTTTATAATTATAATAATAAATTATAATCCGCTCGTCCACTTGTAAATAATAAAAGTAATTTATCGTTGGATCGCATTAAGATAAAATAAAATAACCGGTTTTAAATAAGATTTCAAAATTTTGTTGAAATTAACCACTCGGATGACACGGACGATTTACTCTCGAACTTCGATGCTCAAGACGATAATCTGAACCACAATCGGGGAGGAGAGTGGCTCCGATCCTCTCATTATGCACTGCATGCGTGAGGTTATAGGATAGATCATAGATGTGCAACCATTCTCGGCTAACTGCTCCCTTTCCTGACTTTATTTTATTTTTCATTGCCCCTCTATCAGTAGTGTTTTAAATAAGTTAAAGCAATTATAACACTAAATACTATTTGCGTGTAGTTTCCAAAAAACCAATTTTTTAAATTATTATTTATAATTAATTTATTAAGCTTTTGTAAAGATAAAGATAAAGCACAAAAATAATGTAAATAAATTTCAACTTCAACTTATGGAGAATTAAATCAATGCAGAAAGTTGGATGCCAGAAACATCTCTAACTTCCTTCCACATTTGGCCTCAATTTTCGTCAGCATCAGCCTTAAGTCTCCACGCTCAATTATCTGGAGTCTGCTCCTCTTTTTCGTCAATAGATTTATAACTCTTTCCAAATCCAAGTTTCGTTAAATATAATGAGGGAAATGGAACAAAAAACTTTTTGCCAAAGCCTGCAATTCGGAATAAACTAGTGGCATTCGCAAGCAGAAGTCATAATATCCCATTTCGCTCTTAGTTCGTTCATTTCTTGATAATTCGATAAATTTTTCTTTTAGTGGCAATGGACTAATTCTTCAGCAGTTAAAATGGATCCAAAAACCGATTCGGGATTTCCATATTAAGGAAATTTCGAATGCAATTATTAAAGCTGCCTCGGAGTGCCTATAAAAAATACTTTCAACATGGTGGCAGAAATAATACTCTTGGTTTTGATCAAATTGAGTTCGTCGCCTTATAGATTTGTTTCATTAAACTCGCCGTACAAATTTATCAAATAAGCTCTGAAACACAGTTCTGAAACTCAGTAAATTATTCTTCCGCAGCATCTTTACTTTCAAAAGACTCCAAATGATATCGTAAATCTTCAACAGCAAACAGCAAACTACTGAAATCTTTATCGCTTTCCGCTCGACGATGTTTAACCTTTCACTGCGAGCATTCTGACTTTGTTAACTTTAAAAAGCGATGCGGGCGATCGCTGAGATTTCTTGCAACCAAATGTGCTCGACGAATCAAACCGTTCATAGCCGAATGTATTTGGCACATTTTTTCAGATCCACGTGAAATGAATCCGCCGGAGCATCATCGGCACCAAATGGCAAATTTATTCCAAGGACTAATTATTCAGGGGAATTCTTTCCCTTTAAAAAACAAGAAATATCGATTTTCCTTACGGTACTACCATGCTGTTTTAAGAGAAGTGGCACATTGTCAGCTTTGCATTGCCATTTTACAACACAAATGATGGATGTAAAAAAGTTTATCTAAGAGCTTAAGGAGCACTTCCAAGATGCAAAGATATAAACTTGCCTTCTATCGTCCCAAAATCGCCTCCTCTGGCCTTCTCATCGCGCACGGATCCTATGGGACAAATGGATTATTACGAGCAAATAATTTAATGTGGGGGAAGAAGGTGAAACTTACCTATATTTTCGATGATTTTGGGACTTAAATGTGCCTCTGCCCAAAAGATCCTCGGGTGAGACGGACTCGCCCTTAACTGCCAAGCAACGCAACCCACCAATCCAGAAACAACGCGTGCTCTTGGGAAGAATAAGCAGCAAGCAGCACAAATTACCGCTCAAAAAAGTCTAAGGGCGTTATTTGTTCATGGCCATGGCGTCGTTTTATGCGTTTTTCCAGTTTCTTGCTGGATTGTTCGAATAGTCATTATTTATCTGATATGCAGCTAAGGTTTCTTCCATTAAGCGTAGCCTAATTTCTCTTTTGGTTCTTTGGTTTTGCACCTTTCCTCAATTTGTCCTATTAATTATAAACTTTTAGTAGGGCGAAGGGGTCCGTTTGGATCTCCTCTGGGAAGGTTGCACGTTGGAATTTAAAGGGAAAGAATATTGCCGAATCAGTGGGGTTCACATTTATATCGACTATATCGACTGTTTGCAACAGATTCTTTCCTTGTCTCATAGGAAATCTCAGTTTTTTGAAATGTTTTCACTGGCAGATGTTCGTCAGTTTTCCGATAAATCATTGAGTATTATAATAACATCGAAATGCATTTATATTTGCCATCCATTTTTAATGTCATTATTGTCATTATTTGCGGTAAATGTGTGTCGGTTGGGCTTCCATCCGTTGTTATACATCGGAAATTAAATATTCTTCATTTTTTTTAAGCGGTATTTGCGTCTAATAAGACTAAAATCATGGCAGCTTTATTGAATCGGATTCTTCGACGACGCGACCAATGCACCGTTTCTTATTCTCGTTTCGGAGTTCCTGGTAAGTTTTATTTGCACCGAAAGAGGGCTCTTTCTTCCTCGGCTTGGCTTCAAATTTTTAAATTTTAGGCGATGTTGCTGATGATCGCCCACCGCCAACATCAATTGTTATTGAAGCTTTTGATGATAATGACCCGGATTTTATTTTCATGCGCATTTGTCACGCTCAGAAGGCGGCTGTGGTTTGTTTTATTCATTCGGACTTTTCGCTTTAGCTTCAGCTTCAACTTACGTTTTTAAAATATAAGCTGAAAAATTGGGAATTGTAAAAAATATAAATATTCCACTTATTTAATCACTAGCGCTGGGGGTTTGCTTGTGAATTTTGAACATAGAAGAAAGGCATTTATACTATATTTTGCTGGGATGTTTTTTTTTCCTTCTAAGAATGCATTTATTTTTTCGATCGGAGCGTCTTCATTTACTAAAAACTGGAACTTTTTCTCTAAGGAATCGTTTAAGCGCAGAGGTAAAATGAATTTTTTACTCGTTTCATTTTTAATGACTACCATCTTCTATCATCCAGAAGCGAAATAGTTAAGAGAAATTCCATTTTCTGCAATCATTCGTTAATTATCTATCTTTTAAATGAATTTTTAAGGCATCTGCTGGATTGGGTATGTCTTTTGTGATTTTACTATTTATTTCTACATTTCTTGAATTCGATTGGGATTTATACAGAAAAGATCTGGATGCTTTAGCCATAGGTATGAATTTTTATTTTCTAGTTTTGCAGCTTACTGTTTTTATTATTTTAAAATCATCGGCATTGTATTTTTCAGTATTTCTCTTCCTTTTTCTGCTATTTGGGCTTATTGTTCATTATGATGTGATCGTTGGCGTAAAAAAACAATCACCAAAACATTTAATTCCTTTCATCGTTGTTTACTCATTGCTTATTGGCAGCGAAACGGTTTTTGCGATGTAAATTCTGAATATTTTCTGTTTTGCAGATGTTTTTATTTGCCTTTTTTACTTCTATTTTCTCTTAAATATTTATCAGCCAATTTCGTCGCATTTGGTGCCATTTTTAATAATTATTTATCATCTGTTTTTGTTATTTTTGTTAAAATTCGGATGTTCAGGTATCAAGTTATATATATCCATTCACCTAATGCAGTCGTCGTGTATGATAATGAAGGCGCTTTATTATTTAGTTTAATCGCTTTCACGGTGATCATTTTCATTCAAGCTAACATGCTAATTGCAGTTTTAAAGTGCCGCTTGTATCTTTCCGCTAAGTTGGTACATCAATTGGCTTTAAAGGTTGCCGAGAAGAGTGTAAGCTTTTTATCAATATCAAACTTGTTGTTGGTCCACAAGCTGCTCAACTTTTTTTTCGAAATTATGTTTTTTTGCAGCGACATTTTTTTAATTGGGATCATTTTACCACAGTTTATTTCAGTTGTTGTTATTATGAATCTTAATAATAACGTTTCTTAATATCGATTTTTAGCGAATTAAATATCCTGGAATTCAAATAATGCTTATTAATCGAAAAGATGCGCAGAGAAATCCAAATCAACATGCCACTTCTACAGCTATTGGTGCCGATAACTTGCAAGATGTACAAATCACTGGGAAACAAATAAATGGTAATAAAGTGTAAAATAAATAATTTTATCTGCAACGAATAATATTTTCGCGTTATATCGTTGCTAGCGATGACTCGTCAAAACTTTATTTTTGATCGCAATGTTGGCATATTCAGAATGTTTGATTTTATTTGTTTTTTTTATAATTTGTAAAGTTTTCATTTTACTCATAGTCGAGAAATATATGCCGTACAATTGAGAACTGCTCTATTTTTGTTGTTTTACCCCTATAATTTAATTCAGCCTTAATTTATAAGTAAGTTAAATTATAATTTCATCGTTATATGCTTATTTTAATATTTTTTTTGTTTTGCTTTCGTCATTTTATTTCAAGAAAAAGTTAAAATAATTTTAAGTTAATTCTGTATATTATTTTGTATTATTATTTTTCTTTTTTGTGTTATTAATTTTTGTATATTTAACATTTAAGTTATTAATTGAGAGACACTTTCTTCGTATTATGTTTTTACTTAATTTTTCTTATTTTTTTCTTTTTCTATCAATTTTCTCTTCAATTTTTCTATTTTTTTTATTTATTTTTTTCTTATTAGTTTCGGTGGATGAGAAATGTAACCATTCTGTTGAGTACAGCCAATATTTTCATGATGATTGGTTATATCAACTTTTTATTGGCTGTGTTTTTTTCTGTTTTTTATCTTCAGGTGTGCTTTTTTCGATGCGACAATTGTTGCTCGATTATTAACATTTTCATTTTAGTTTTGTCTTTAATTCTTGAGATTACATTGGATTATTGTGGCATTGATGATGAATATTTTTACAATTTTTTTTCAAAGTAAATAAGTGAAAAAAGATTATTATATTCCCAAATCTGTCAAATCCGTTTTAGTTTTTTTTTTTTTTGTTAAAATTGAATGTATTAAATTGTAATTATATATTAATTTTTAATTTTTAATCATCAAATTGTATACCTAGATCCATTATTTGTATCGTAGGTGTAGTCATTTTAATTAATTGTCGACAGCTGTTAAGTTAGTAGTGAATAATCATAGTAATAGCAAAATAATTTTTAAAAAAATGCTTGATAATTATTAATTCCTCGTTAATAAGTATTAAAATGCTAGAAATAATAGAAATTATTTTGCAAATGACACTGGGCAAGCAAAATCATAATGTAACTGTTTAAGTGGAACACAAAAGCCATTAGGACCGGGGTGATAAATAGAACAGCAACATTCGCACTTGTCACCATTTCGCTCGCAGTTTACTGATGGGAATTTGGTGCCAACAATTTGACAGAGTAATGGCTCCACAAATTTAAATGCGGGTCCTTGCTTCAAAATTGTCAGTTCAGCCTGAACATAATCGCTAATATTGCAAGCATCGTTGGGAGGCTTCACGTTTGGATACATGGCCTGGAAACAGTTGTTGCTGATAAGGTGTTTAATAAGGTGTTTTTTCTTCACCAAGGTGATTAAAGTAATCACCAAGGTGTTTTTGTGAATGGTTCTGTCAGAATATAAAAACTGAAATTTTTCGTTCTAATATTCTAATATTTTTTCTGGTTTACTGAATAATCTTATCTTTTCTTGAGAATTATTTGAAATATAGATAAATGCCTAATAACCATCCGAATTCATTTTTATTGGTATAGTTTTTGTCAAGTGACAGGAATTTATTCCGATGAGTGGAACCCTTTTCAATTCTAGGTACTATCCTTTTTAAACTTATTTTATCCTTTAAATCCTAACAATTCTTTAGTTGTGCAATAGCCGCATCCTATGAAGAGAGCAATGAGGTTTGGGTTTTTAAGAAGTTTTTGAGAGGGTTCGGTGGGTTCGGTCTCCTATGAACCAAGAAGAGCATAAAGGCAATGTGTTGAGATAGTGATAACAAATGAGGTCATAACAAATGAGGATGAAACAGGAAATAATATAAGTGAATAGAACAAAATGATAAAAAGTAAAACGAAAAGAAAAAACTAAAAAACGACTGGATCGAGACTATAGAATCTTTTAAAATATGTTGTGGATTTCTTGTTGGGATTTCTTTTGAAACTGGAGACTGGATGGGGATAATATCAGCGGTATAATTTGTTCCAGCAGTTAACAATTTGAAAGGAAAAAATTGTGGGATTGTAGGACAAAAGATTGGCCCTATAAACTTGCGCGATTTCAGTCCAATTACCTCTGTTAGCGTTCAAGAAGTGATAATAATTAAAATAATTTCAATTGATAGAGCCGATTATAGTATTTTCATTAATATAATCATATAATTTAGTTTGGATTGTAGAGTTGGAAACTGGGATTTAAGCGGTGCAATATTTTTGACCTTCGATTAACTTAAATTTCGATTTGCTTTCGAATGAATACGGAATTATTAAAAGAAATAACATGCAGATCGGAGGCTTTGCCATGTGCAAAATCAGATAGCCATCATTTAAATATTCTTTAAGCTCATTTAAATTCTCCTATCTACCATATGAGAAATAAATTTTATAGTTTTCAATAAAACGGCCTACGCAAGAACCGGAGTGCTAAGACTGAACTGCAATAAAATCAGATGGAACTACTAACACGGATGACCTGGAAACGACCATTTAGATGGTCTGGCACTAGTTAAAGAGTTAAAATACTTTATTTTATATTTTTTTACATTTCATAAAAATTTTTCCTTAATGAAGCAAATTGAGCAGCAAGGAAAATCTTCTTCTTCTTCTAACAGTTCTCACCATTAATGATTAGTCTGGTTCCGCTGGCTACATGGTAAAACGTCTCCAAGCTGATCGGTCGACGCCATCGTTAGTAGCCATTCCTTTTTCCATATCGTCTAAGTCCATATATCGCTTGGTCCATCTATACGTTCAAAATCTTTTCTCACTGTATCAGTCCAGTTTTTTTGCACTTTTTGCACTTTTTATGAAAGTTGTTACCTTGTAAATCATATTCACTTTTAAGTCACTTATTTTTTTCTGGAGATGTTTGGTAGGTTGTTTCTTCAATAATTGTCGCAGTACGTCCTGTCACCTTTCTTAGGAATTGGGAGAATTACTTTTCTCTAGTTTTCTGGTACTAGTTCTGTTTTCTGTTTCTTTTGTCATACCAAAGAATACATTTGTTGAAGGTGAGTTATGAACAATGATGGACAATATTTGAAGAGTTCGACCCGGAGACCATCTTCTCCCGGAGCCTTATTGGCCTTAAGCTTATGGATAATGGAAATTATTTTACTTCTGTTGAAGGCTCGCAACTGCAAAGGTATGGTTCGACGAACTATCAGCTATATCAGGGGTAACAGTTGGCGCTTCATGATTAAATTTGGCCTCAAAAAATTTTTATCTTCTGAGGCGATCCTCCTTAATATGTATGTCCATATATATGTCCATTAATATTCTGCATCATTTCACTGACCCTTTCTCGAGTTAGCTTTGTGAGGAAGGCGAAACAGTATCCTATTATCACCCTTCCGAGCTGCCGTCTCCATTCTTAAGGCCATGTCACTACAATAGCGATTTCTGTCCCGCCGTGCTGCTGTCGTTATAATTCTTCGAAGCACCCGATAGTCAAGATCTCCTGATATTCGGGCTTTGACAGCTTTGTCGGGCAGTTAGACAGTTGCTTTCGACACCTAATTAGCGAACTTCCTACTAGTACTCTAGGGTGAAAGTGGGTGACTTTTGTAGGCATGTCTTTAGTTAGGACCAGTGTTCATTCGCCTTTCCAGAGATTTCATTGACATTCATTTCACTGAGGTATTTCAACAATACGGTTTGAAATGCACTTATTGCTCCTGGATTTTTTAATTTGAGGTAGTTGAAAGATCTTGGGATATGTTGCTGCTTATGACTTGTCAATTTTATACGAATCTTGGCTCAGCAGCGGAAAATCACAAAATAAATAATATAAAATTAAAATTATATAAAAAATATAAAATTAAAAAAACAAAATTTGAAATAAAAATTAAAAAATGAAAAATTTTCGCAAAAATTGAATGTCTTTTCCAAAGATTCAAAAAACGTGGCGGTCCACAAAATTTTTTAGAAAGGGTTACGTGTGCATCACTGCCTTGACCGATCATTGAAACCCGTGGCTGCTCATTTTACCCCTATCAATTGATTCTATGGTTAGCAAATAAGCTCTGGATAAACCACAGTTTAGGTTGAAAATGATTAAAATTTTCATATTATGATTTTCAAACATTTTACTTTAAGTTCCAAAATATCGCTGGTCGAAAGTGGCTCGAATACGCATGATTTCGTGAATCCTGAACATATCTTTGATTCGTAAGATTGTGCCAAAAATGAATTCGATTTTCTGAAATTTCATATTCGAAAAAACCGAGAAATTGGTATCTGGTAAATAATAAGAGAACTAGCTGACTAATTTTTAGGAGTTAAAAGTTAAAAGTCCATATAGTCCATATACCTGCAGCACCTAACTTCTCGGCCACAGTTGCCGCAGTTGCTTGGTGATATTCTTCGGTACAATGGGTGATTGATATAGTTGCCAGTATTATTCCTTAGAAAATTCAAAACAAGCCGGATTACTTTTTTTGGTGGCAACTTAAATAATTTTAATTGTTATCGCTGAACGAATGATCATTTAAATGATAATTAAAAATGCTTTTTTTAATTTTTTAAATCAATTGAGTTATTATAATTATTATCTTATTTTTTCTAGAATTTAAAATTATCGAATCATAACATCCCAAAAGATTGCCGTTTTTTTGGTGTCTGGATTTATGGCCACATATTTCTGCTGCCATACCACATTGGCCTATGTTGTATATCATATGACCTTTGAACATCATATGAAAGCACATTTTCGCCTGTTCACTGTTAATATAACACTAATTAAAATGAATATTTTCTGAATTTTTACTCGGATGATAACATGAAAAGATCGGTATAGTGGGTGAACAAGAATGAATCCCCTCAATATATTGCAAAATTCTATCATCAGTCGGATGAAACTATTTAATTATCCGCCATAGGATTCATTTACTATGGCTTCTTAAAGCAGCCATGCAGCGATTACAGCATATATAGTATAGTATAGTAATAGGAGATAGTCCATCGAAATCAAACGCTGACCAAGAAGAGAGGTCCAATTATTCATGCCAAATTACACATCGCAAAGATTAATTTTGTAAAAATTTAGTATCAATGTCCACCTCTATTCACCATATTCTCCATAACTTTCACCAGCAAAAACTAAACCTTTTACTTCTTCCATTCTCTCGACAAATTCATCAGACACTTTCGAAAGAAGGAAGACTTTGAAACCATCTTTTAGTAATACATTGGTTCCATAAACTCAGATTTTTGTGCAAAAGGAATGCATTTGGTTCAGATTGGCAAAAGTTTATTGCATGTAAATTATTTACTTTGAATAAAAATAAAACTGATTTTTATTATGATCTTTCAAAAAAACGATACAAAACGAAATTTAAAATGACATAATAATATAAGATGCACAATGATAAACCTTGCAGCCGTGATCTCTTACATCTCTTAAAAAATTGCCAACTGCATCGGCCAAATCGCCATGGGGAATAACACATTTGGACCAATTTGAAAATAATTCTGGATCATTATTGCAAGAAACACTAAAGAAATTGCCACTGCCTATACCTAAATAAAATTAATGATAATAATTCAATAAAAATAATAATTTTACGAAAAATAAATCCATTCAAATAATTTCGATAATATTTCGATAACATTTATGTCCAGCTTATCTCAAAAATTTTGCCAGTTAATGTAAAGTTTTATCAAAAGGAGATGCTCGATATTACTTCCCTTGCCATCCATAAATATTCAAACAATCTTAAATTTCAAAAATAAAAGGCCCCTTCATGATATATCCATTCATTTTCTATTAATTAATACCTAGTAACTCAAATAATTTTAATTTATTTTAATAAATTTTTTTAAAATGATATGAGCTCACCGAAAATAATAAAGATTAGAGCGAGAAAAAGCCAGCTGTCCATTTGAAATACGAATGGCCTATAGGACAACTGTTGATAAATAACAGGAAAGACTCAAAATGTAAGTCTTCCAAGATATTCACTATTTTTCTCTCACTTTAAAAATATATTTCATCGAGACACTTCGGAAAAAATTGATTCGAAAGATTTTTGTTTAGTGCTAAATGCCCTCTAAAAGTTTAAGAGTTTGAACGATCTTCGAATTTTTCTTTTTTTGGCAATTAATGGAAAAATATTTAAATGCAAACGGTCTTAAAAAAAGAATTCAGTATATCGATAAAATTTTAAAATTACGAAAGAATAGGTGAAAAAGAATTTTTGAAGAATGTAAGAATCGTCGGAAGAAAAGTTGTAAAATATAATTCATTAGATACGTTTTTGAAATCCAAATATTCAATGATTTGAATCTTGGATTTTTATATAAAATTTCCCTATAGTCCGCAGATCTTACTTTAAACTGCCGCAAGTCTGATAAGCCAAACCTTTGGATCGAATTTGAAACAAACATCTTATCCAATTTGTTTGATGTTAAATATAGAAAATAAATATTTAAAAAAAGTGGCAAAATGGCAAAAAATGGCGAATATTTTCCAAAGTTGGGCACTGACCAAATTATATAATAAAAAATTTATTGAATTCATTTTTTTTTAAATTTAAAATTGGTCGTAGTAGGAACAAAAGTTAGTTTTGAATGCAGTTATTAGTTTATTTCAATAAATATTCTGAGCCTTAAATTTGAAATTTCTATGGAAAAATAAATTTATATAATATAACTTGTTTCAAACCATATTTATTTCACAATATTCTTGTAATAGAATGATAATAAACTTTTTTCCTTTCTCATTTTTATCATTGTTTGTTTTTTAAAAAAAGGAACTGAGCGAAGAATTTATAATGTATCCGAAAAAAATATTAAACAATGTCCGACAAACTGCTAGAGTTTAAGGAAATGGGAGCATAACGAGATTTTTCACGATGTCAAAGAAGGATACAGGACTTCTGGCCAAAATACAAGTGCACTGTAGTGTGAAGTTGTTAAGGGAATACAATGGAGCTTCGTGTCTTTAGTAATAAATTGGTAATATTTAATTTAATTACAGAGAGTTTTAAAACATTTTAAGCAAGCTTTGTGGGAATTGACGTAGTTTTGGAAATAAATATAGCAGTTTTTGAGTGACTCGTTTTCTTAAAGTTTATATGAAAAGCTTATATCAAAGGCAATTGCAGGAATATGAACCCAAATAAATTTTTCAAAAATTTTCTTAAACATCTGTAGTCCGTAAACTATAATTTTGCTTATTTATTAAGTTCTAATCTATAAATTTACAACCACATACTTAAATTGCATAACTACCAAGCCTATTTTCACCATTAACGCTGTGGTACTTGGTTGGATGAACGATGTATTACACAGAGACAAAAGATTTTCAATGATCAACGAATCAGTGCACAAAAACTTAACTCTGAGATAAATAAATGTAGTAGTTAATTAAAGTTAATTAATTAATTTAATTAAAGTTGGACATAACGAAAAATTTAATCAATGAAAACAAATTTTTTGATAAATCTTTTATTTTCAAGGGTTCGAACAATATATTTCACCAGTAGATAATTGTTTTTTCACTTCATTTCATTTTCATCTTTTTCTTCCGTTTCGCCATTCAGTTTTTCATTTTTCTTCTAAAAATGGATTAATTATTTTATTTACATTATTTCAAACAATTCATTTTTATAGCAGAAACTGGCCTTTGACTGTTATTGCTCAGACTAAATCCGTGCTCAGAGACGGGTAAACCTATCATTAAAATATCCGAATGAGGTTAAAGTGACCAACAACGGCCAAACCAAAATTATGCTAATTTCTGTGTTATTTTTGGCCAATTAGTTTAATACGGAAATAAATAAGCATCAAAAAAAGAATTTCGAAAGTGCATTCAGAAAAAGTTTTAAATTAATTTTTAATCAATGCTAATCAAAAATTTTATAATTAACGATGCATCAAACGATAAAGTAAGATATCAGTGAATTTCGTAGAAGTGTGCTTTGATAGATGGCGAATAATATTTTATAAAAAATTTAAAATAACTTTCGAAAATTGTTATTTATTCGAACTTGAAGACGGCTAACTTTTATAAATCGAACAACTGCGACAATAATTGCAATGCTAACGACAGTGATGGACACTAATAAAATAAATGCGATTGTTAAATTATCGTTTGAATAACTGATAAAACTTTCTCTTTCATCAATATTGTATTTCGGGATGGATTCGTTCGTTTTATATAAATCAATTATATTTGTGGCTGAATCGGCACCAATTATTTTTCCGATCTGAATTTTTTCCAATTTTATATTTTAATTCACAATTCCATCGCGTTCTTCAGCCGATTAAATTCCTTTGTCAATCTACAGTTTGCTTTCAAAAATTCAATGTGCGACGTGGCTGGTGGCTGACTTTTGTTATAATAATAAATAAAGCCTAGGAATCTAAGTTAGAGCAGTGGCTGACCCTTCTCTTCTCTTAGAACAGTTTAGAAAGTGGTGTGAATAAACCTTTTCATCTATTAATCTGAAGGCAGGCAATAAATAATTCCTTGCTCATTCCAAAACGAAGTCATACCATTAGCGCTTTATAAAGTGAGTCGTCGATTTCAGACGTATCATTCTCCACCGATATATTATTATTTGTTGCAATCATTATCACTGTCGTTGTTATGTCAACGAATGAATCGTAAGGCAATAACAAATTATCCTCAACGTCAGTGATAATTTCCCCTTTTAATGAATAGGGTCGATCGCATAAAGTAAGTTTGGCGTTTACTAATTTGAATTCGTCGCCTGATTCCGCTCTTTTCTTATAAAACTCATAGACTGCATTAATTACTGAAAAAAATCGTAAAACAATCTTTTTCTATAAAATTTATTATTTTATGGATGATTTGCTTGCGGGTTCAAGTTGAAATCGGCTCTCATTAAATCATCGAAGTTATAAGTCACCAAGTTTTTTTCAGACGGCCATGTATTTCCTGAATCCTTAAATACTAACCAACCTTTTTTCAGTCTATCATCGCAAATCCATTTATTAGATGATAAATCGAGATATTTCAAATGTTTTAAGGATTTCAACGCATCGACTGGCAAAGTTTTTAAATTATTATTTGATAGATCAAGTTTTTCTAAAGAATTTGCTTGATATTTGAAGCTATCTGATTCGATTGTATTTAATTTTGCCGTATTTAAATCGAGTTCCTATAAAATCATTAAAGTTAAGTTAAAGTTTTAAAGAATTTGCATTAAATTTGCATTTGCATGTTAAAGTGCGTCTCCATTAGTGTGCATAAAAGACTGAGGAGTTGTGCCACAGGAGTTTTATGAACCAATCACCGATCCCACAGGACTTTTTGGGCATCGCTATTGACCGATTGGATAAGGTTACGAATTTTGCGTCGATACGAAATCTCAACCCATATATTATTTTCACATCAGCCAAAAAGTAATAAATGATTTTTATCAATTTGCATAAATTATACAAAACATATTCGTACCTTTAGAGAAATAAGATGGATAAATAGCGAACTGTCCAGTTTTTCGATATTTGTATTACTAAGATTCAGAATTGCAAGTTTGGAAAGATTTGTAAAAGCATCACTATCGATCTAAAAACTTTACTTTTTTTTCTAACAGCTTACCATTTCTGATTAGCCTTTCGTTTCCAATCGCTTATCGGACCGGACAAATTTTGCCAGAGGGTTCACTTCACTTGGAGAAAGGAATAGATCACCAGCACCGTCTAGACTTATTATTCTTGCTTCAAGCAATTTGCTTCTTTTCAGTGCTTCGATATTTAGCATCGTTGCAATAAAGATAAGAATTAATTTTCTGAAGAAATTAATCTTCTTTCCAAGATCAGGACCAAGAGAATTCACAAAAAAAGAATTGTATCGCCTTGATTGATCGATGCAAACAATGCTTTTACTTTTTTCCTGCCTCTCGACAAGAGTAAATCTATCGCTAAAAGAGAAAGAGTAGTGAGGAAAAAGTGAAACCTGAGGGCTCATCTATACTTCCATTCTCACATTATACTTTTTCCCGAGACATTGGAACATCTTCGTTATATTGTTTGATAGTGGCAAACCTGCTTCAATTTCGTGTTATGCCGTAAATCAAGCACCGTTAGCGATTTGCTTAGTGGAGTAAAAGAAACATTATCGATAATCGCCAACTCGTTCCATCCCAAATCAAGCGAAACAAGTTCATGCAATCCATTCCAAGTGCAGTTTTTCGTTGTGTTTAAATAATTGCCACCTAATGACAGTTTCCGAAGTTTTTCGGATGCTCGGAAACTTCCACATTCGATTTCATCGATAAGATTAATACGGAGATCCAACTTTAGATTTACGAGAAAATTAATGCACTAATTTAATAAGCATTTGGATTTAAATTTAGATTTTTTAAACATTTAACCTTAAATATGTTTTATTTTATTTATTTTATGATAATTTTCAAAAAAGTCTATAAAAAGCTTAAATAAGCAAAGAAGCCAAGTTTTGTTAGGATAGTTCTCTCTTCGATTAGAAATTTTTGGTGACTTGGCGATAGAAGTGATTAATCCGCACCATTCGGAGCACCACTTCTGCACCACTTTTTAATGGCAGATATATTCCTACTAAGGATATGAACTTAAAGATTCGATATCTGAATCATTATCAACTTTATCAGCTTTTCTCCCCCATTAAGTTCAAATAATTGAAACCTCAATTAGATTATGAAGTCCTTGAAAAGTTCCATTGTTTATTTTTGTTAAGCTGCATCCAATCATAAGGAGTGTCTCTAATTTATTTAATTCTGCAAACAATCCATTTGGAATTTCTAGAATGCCGTCTGCTTTACTTAAATCTAAAATCTACAAATTTAATCTATAAATTAGCATAATTTAGTGATATTTTCCTATTAAATATTACACCATAATCAATGCGATTTCAGGCGGCGAAACTGGTTAAAAAGAAAGCAAAATCAATTTTTTCTTTTATCGCTCGATAAAGAGCAATCATTTTGCCACGAACCCTTTTTAACTTTGGAACTAACGAAAGCGAAAGTAAAATTATTAAATACTAAAATTATTCAAAAAAACCTTTAATTCAGTTAATTTTGAGATTTCGTTAAATACAGTTTCATTAATATAATTATGTTCGCCGATAATTAATATTTCCAAGGAATCTTTCAATTGTGAAAATGTTTCATTATCGACTGTTTCGATAAAATTTGCTGCCAAATTGAGCATTTTTAGCTGAAAATTTTTGAAATCTATTACAGTGCAAAACTTTTTTAGTAAAGTTGGCAGCCGATTGACTATTGTCTCATAGAGCCACCAATATAGAGCCACCGTAATACCGTATTCATTGAAAACAACCTCGTTCAAGAATCGTCAGCATATAGAATGGTTCTTTCTTTGGATGCTTTCTATGGCCAAAAGTTCTAAAAATTCTGCAAAAAAAGTAAAACTATCTTCAAAAATTCGTTAATTTGTCGGAGAACTAAGAAAATATATAAACCTGTTTGAGTTGAGATATATCATCCCTTGAAATGGAAATTATATTGTTGTGGCTGAGTGACAAATTTCTCAGCTTTCTCAGTGGTCGTATAGCTCGAGGTACTTCATCAAGGTTACATTTCTCGATATAGATTTCTTCGAGATTTTCTTCTTGTCCGTTGAAAGCGTTTTCATCAATTTTTAATGCAATCTTTTGGTAGCAATTTTCTAAAGCAACAAATTTTGACGAATAAATTTGCCGCAGAACTTTTAAATAATCAAACTTTCCGGATAGAGAGGACACTTTTTGCATTAAAAATTATTAAATAGACTAAAATTGTAAATTCGAATGAAAAAAATTTCAAAGTCTAAACTTCTTACAGAATTAAAAAAAAAGAACACCTATGAGTAATTTCTGAAGCATAATGCGGGGATTAAGAAACAAATTTCCAGTTATGCCAGCTTCATTAAATTCCATTCGAATAATTTCAACCTTAAAAAAGTTTTTTTGTTTAATCGCACTTTTCGTTGTTATAGAAAACTATGAATTCTTTAAAATGTGAATTTTGTGATTGTGTTTTTTTGGAGACTTTGCCCATTTTCTGCTTGGTATTTTAAAATAAATTAATTAAATAAGCAGCTAATTCAGAAAAACATGAAATATGGAGATCCAGTTAAATTCTGGATTAACGCTGTCATGTGAAATTTCGAGCAAATAGACAGGTAAGTGATTTGGTAATGGAATTGGTAATTAGTAGTTTCAACTGAATGTAACGAGCGCCAGTTCAAGAGGCTTGGAAACGCTTTATTTTAGTAACCATTGCAGCCAACCAGTTGGAAATGATAGGTGCTTCCAGAAAAAGAAGTAGCTATAGCGCAATCCCTCCTCGCTAGCAGCAGTTAGGCACATCTTAACCCCCTTATCATCCTTGATTATAGGTTAAGAGATGGTCTGTACTACTGAACTTCAGCCGAAGTGAAATAGCAATCGGTCCCAAAGGCTCCAACATCTTCTCTTGTTTCAAGAATAGCTCTTTTCTATTTTAAGGAACATCAACCAACCTCTTTTGCTATAAAATTTGCATTAATCGTTGAGCGAAGTGCTTGCTTTAAATCGTCTAATTTCGATCCATATAAGCATTTTATATTCACAAAATTATTATGCAACAATTGGCAAAAGCATGGAATAAAATTTTGAAAATGAGAATTATTCAAATTTTTTAGTTTATTGAATTTATTTATATCAAAACAACCAGCAATTTCACCAAAAATTTTCGTTTCATTCGTCGTATCGCTTTTTGTCAGCGATAATAAAATAAATAACAATGTTATTAATAAATAATAAAAAATATTTATAGAAATTTTTTTCATAGAAAAATAATAAATATGGCAGAAATGGATGAATCGTGAATCGTAGATTTACGCTAAACACAATGAATAGTTGTCTGGAGAGGATTTCTTGCTGATGGCGATTTTCTTTCTTCAAATTCCTTTCGTAGAAATTTAGGTCAAATTGAAATTCTATCGAGTCCTTTTTTCCCCATTTTGCACTATCATCAAATTTCGATTCTCCTCGATCAATGCTGAAAAAATTTAAGATCGTCGTGTAAGCATAAAGAGCAGCTTTGGCCCTTCACAATTCCCGTCGTGTAAGCATAAAGAGCAGCTTTGGCCCTTCATAATTCCCCACTGGCTCACCAGCATTAACATTGGTTCTTCATTTCATCATTCATCTGATGATGATGCGTTTTGCAAAGTTATTTAATTACATTTTAGTTGTAATTATAGAAAAGTCTTAAGTTAGAGGCGAGGATTAGTATAGGCTGTTTTAGACAACTATGATGTGCAATTATATTTCAGAGAATCATGAGAATGAGAGAGACTGTGATAAAGCTGGCAACTTCAGTAATAAGTCCATTGCTCATCGAAATATTAATTGGCTTAAGATTAGGATTTTTAAACGAAATCTTAGGCTTAGGATTAGAAGCATAGACTTAAGGCCTTTATTATAATGAAGTCTTAGCTTAATACTGAATTTACGCTTAATCTTAGTGCATAAATCTGAGAATTTATGGATGTAAAATATATTCTCCTCTCCGAGAACCTCACTTATTTTGCTTACTTAATGATTCCACAATAATAATTATAATCTTATGAAGTATATTCGAGGCTGGAAATTAGTCAGAAAGTCCAAAAAAGGTTCAAAAAAGCACATAATTCTTATCTATTGCATTATTTTTTTGCATTTTGCACTTAAATTATCTTATCCGACAGCTAATGCTTACCGATCATTGTAAGAAATTAATTTATGCAGGAAAAAATGATAAAATCTTGCAATTATGTTATGCAAATTATTGGAATAAAATAATAATGAAAGTTAAAAATAAATATTGATAAGCACTCTTGTTAGTGATTAATAACAATAACAACCGAACAGTTAAGTAAAGCAGCAAAGGGCAAAAGGAAACGGGGGGGGGGGGGGGCGCATTTGAAGAATAATAATAACTAACATGACGGTAGAACGGCTCAGTGGATTGGTGCTCTTATTTTGGAGCGGTGGTGCTGAGGTTCCGCTCCCCGCAACAGTAGGCTTAAATTTTAAAAACTGGGGTGACGCTGACACACGCACCAGGGAACTCTGGCAGAATTTATATGGCGCGAAAAGGCTACCGAGCGAGTCTAACGAGAAATCCTCTTGAAATATAGGTGATAAATAAAAAGAATAATAATAATAATAAAAATAATGGCGAAACTAATAATAAATTATAAATGTAATATCGTTAAAAAGTCTTTTATTTTTAAACATAATGTGGAATTAATGTTCAGTTATATTTATTTATTATAAAAATATGTTCAATGTTGTTCAGTGTTCCTCGTTCTTTTCTTATCGCCCTCTCGCCTTCGACCTTTTTTCTTTTGTCTGATCCCTCTTAAACTTGTCACCTTTCACCATTCACCATTTGTCACCTTTATTGCGCTTTTTTAAAATTTAGAGGAAAAATGGAAAATTTTATCAAACATTAACGCTAAAAGCGGGAACTATTCTTCAACACACATTTCTTTAAGCTCTTTAATTTTTAAAAACTTTAATTGTTCTTATTCAATTTTAATACGAATATTCTGGACCACAAGCAATTTTAACTAGCAGTAGTCGCATTCATAAAAACGACGAACTGGCTGGTGTCAGATTCCTGGAAGAAAGATTAATTAATATTGCCCTTGGAAGATATCCCTTTGCCTCATAGACCCTTAGTGATTTGAAGTTCCCCTTCACGGGGAGGGGAATTATAGGATGAAAAACGTAAATCCAACAAATTTTTAGCCGATATTTATTTGAAATGATTTTTAATACTATTTTAAGAGCACAAAATATTCTTTATTCTATGGAAATAATATTTGGAACAACAACGATAATAAATAAACAAACAACAACATATCGTACATCGCGATTGCTCTCTTCTATAGGTTTTAGCCCAAATGCAAAGGTCAGAATCGAATAAAAGGTCAAAAGGTCAAAGGTTAGGCCAAGCATGAAAGTTGAGTGAAATAAGTTGAAACATGAATACAGGTGAGCGAAGAAAATATATATTGTTATATTGTCGATGTAATGCAAATGTGTATGTAGGAAGGGAAATGGAGAGAAGCAGACATTTAGCTTAGTCGTTTAAAGCTAACGCAGTTCATTGATTTATTCTGGGAGACCGATGTGTTCTCTTCAAGCAATCATCTTGTGAGCCGAGTTTTGCTTTGGACTGTCTTGGCCGCATTATAGCCTTAGGGTGTCCTCCGTTTGTCCTGTCCTCTCACGTCTCTTGTCCCTATTATGTCCCTCCATTTGTCCTATTTTCTTGTCCAATCCATCCATTCCTCAACTTTCTTCTTTATTTCTTCTTTTCATTTCATCCATTCTTTCTTATTTATTATTTTAATATTTATCTCTTTTTTTAAAATCTATCGATTATTGATTAGATCAACAATATTTTTTAGTGAATTTTTGTTACAACCGATTTTTACAATCTTTTTTTGAATTCATTTCCTCTTGTCTCCCTTTCAGTAAAAGAAATCAGTAAACCTATCATATTAGAAGTGAAATCCGGCTGATTGCCTCGGCCACTCGCTTTTGCTTCTAAATCTCACGTCTTGGCTCGTTGGCTTCATTTCTACTAAATTTTTCTTCGCCTAATCGCTATAATTTTGTATTTCGTTATACGTTTTTCAAAAAATTGTTAATATTAACCATTTTTTATTTCCGCCTTCTTTTTTAAAAAAAACGGAATTTTTCGATAATAAAAATAAAATATATTATTATTTATTATAAAAATAAGTGAATTTAACTTTTCTACAAACAAAAGTCGTGTTTTTCCGTTGACCTTCCTTTTAACCTTTTTGTGCGATTTTCGTATTAACAATTTTTTTAAAAATTTTTTTAACAGAAAAAAATTATTTCAGCCAATTGTTCCTAAATTATTTAAAATATTGTGTAAGAAATAATAAACACATTGATTAAAACCTCACTCAATAATATGTAATAACAATAACTACTAAACTGACAATGCAGCTGGCTGCAACATGCGCCTCATCTGCAGCACAAAGATAAATGCACGTTACAGCTGTGGTATAGTGTTATACGGCTGGCAGTGGGTGCAGTTAGTGCGTAATATACGAGGTGCAATGGCAATAGCCATCTGCACATTGACTGCAATGTGGCAATTGGTGTTGCAGTATAATGCAATAGAATAATTTGCGCTGTTGCATATTACACTTTTTGCTGCCATGCTTCAGGAAATTTTACCATCCTCATCCGTCTTCCATCTATACGTTTCTCCTGTCTCCTATGATTATCCTTCTTTGTGCCTCTTTCGCGGTCCTCCGACTTATTCGTGGGTCTTTTTATATTTCCTTCCTCTTCACTTTTTTTTTATCTCCATCGCAATATTTTATTTTTTATTTGCACAAATTCTCGTGACACGAGTATCAAATATAATAGATTGTCACCATTTTTCAAATAGTATCTTGTTTCCACATTCTTATATCTTATTACCGCTTTAGCCAGCATTCGATGTATTTTTTCTGGTAGCAAAAATGATCGATGTATCACCACTATCGTCACTATTCTTCCCATTCACCATCACTGTCCTCATCACTTCCTGTTATTCTCCCTCCCTAAGTATTTTACCCATTTCATCTCATAATTTTTGTTGAATTCATTTATCAGATTTATTACATTTTCCTGCAAAAAACTATTAAAGTCAAAAAATTAAAAATCATTTTTTTTTAATAAGACAATTTTCAGGAATTTTCATTTTTTGCTATTATTAGAATTATTTACATTCTGGCTTTTTCTAAAAGATTATGGAAGCGAATTTTTAAATTTGCATATAATAAATTTTGTTATAATTGTTATTTTAAAAGTATCATTACTCTATCATTACTTTCATAAACGTCCATGCGTGTCATCTTTTTCTTTTAATATATATAAATAATTTTCTTTTAATATATCTTTTAATATAACGCTCACTAGTTTTGGTTTGTATGATGGTACCATTGAGGCTTTTTCGGACTTTTAGGGAGTGTCACCTAGCGACAGGTATATTAGTCAGTAATCAGCATCCACACGAATTTCATTTTGATTTGCAAATTTATTGTTGTCAAGAGATAACCTTTTTCCTTTTAGTGGAACTATGATTTATTCGGCCTCCTATCATCTTCATCATAATCATTATAATTATACTATTTTTGAAAAATTTCAAAATGTAAGAGGATTTCTAAATTACTCAATTTTTTTTAAAAGATTAAATGTTTATTTGCATATTTTTTCCATTCTTTATCAAAAGAACCTTCAAAATGATTTTCAATTGCTTATTAATTATCATCAGTCTGTTTGTCAGTTACTGCCAGTCTTTATCCCATTTATGCTCATCAATTATGTGTTTATAATTATAATTATCAACATATAATTATATGTTTTTCTTGTACAATAACTTATTCGTTTCGCTTATCCTTCCCATATAAGAAGATATTCACCGTGCCCTAGACTATTGATATCTCCTGACTCCTAGAATAAGGCTTTTGCTAAAGAATCACTGTAGATATATATGAAAATCCCAGCATCGTCTGGATTTATTTTTTATTGATGAACATGTTATCTTTAAGAGCACAGATAGAATCCATTTTGCCAGCAAACGAACATTTTTGATTTATTTTTTTGCAAATAATGTTTAAAATATATATATATATATATGTTAGCAGAAAAATAAACGATATAAATAATGAAGTATTATTGAAATGAATGGTGGTCGATTTGATTTCGATGATGGTGGAACATATTGTGGTGGTTGGGAAGAAGGTAAAGCACATGGACATGGTGTTTGCACTGGACCACAGGGCAAAGGCGAATATGCTGGCGCATGGCATTATGGATTTGAGGTTCATTATCTTTTGATTTCTTTTTTATTTCTCTTCTATATCAGATAAAAATTGGTTAAAATTTGTTAATCTACCAGTAATTAAATTTGTAATTTATAGGTTTCTGGGGTATATACTTGGCCATCGGGAAATACATATCAAGGACAGTGGCAAAATGGTAAGCGGCATGGATTGGGAATTGAACAACGTGGACGTTGGCTCTATAAAGGTGAATGGACTCAAGGTTATAAAGGTAGATATGGCCACAGGCAGTCGATAACTTCGCAAGCAAAATATCAAGGGACATGGTCAGCTGGTTTCCATGATGGTTATGGTTCTGAAACATATGTTGATGGAGGTATTTTTATGAATTTCTTCTGTTTTAATTAAATTCCATTTCGTGTTAAGCGAATAAAACGAAAGATGTTATTAAAATATTTTTCTAGGAATCTATCATGGACAATGGTTGCGAGGTATGAGGCATGGTTATGGAATACGAAAAAGTGCTGCCTATGGCATCGCGGCTAAATTTCGATCTCGATCATACACAAATGCATCGTTGACATCGTTGAGATCGGATTATGGTGATGATGAAACCAAAATGGATGCAAAAAAGGACGGCGGTAATTTTCATTTTAATATAACATAGGTATTTAAAATCATCTTTGTTATTGTTTGCTTATTAAGTACTCACAAATAGAGGCACTCGTAAATAGCAGATAGCTCTCCAAATTTTCAGATAAAAAATTGCATGACTGGCTCTTTTCATTTCAATAAATGCTTGATTTTAGAAGAAAGAGATGAAGGGCGTGGAGGATTTGTACTGAAATCGCGAAGTGAAGCACCAACACGACGTCGGCGATCATTATCAGAACGATCGTTAGCTGTTAAACGAACAATACTTAGTGGTTTAAGAATTAAAAAACAACATTCAACTGGTGACATACATCAGCGAGCAACTACTGGTATTCATTTGCATCATTTATCTAATTTGCAACCTTTTTATTTCATTGATTTTTTTATATATTCAAAAATTTCTCATGAAATTACGTAGTGAATATAAATTAGAAAAATTTTAGGAAGTCTTCGATCAAGTGGAAGCACATTGAGCTGCACATCTGATGAATCCGATCATCGGACTACTCGTGATCATTTCGTAGTACCACAGGTTTCCTTTTTTTACACAGATAGGTCAGAACGCTTCTTGTGTTGAAAAATAAATTTGAAGGATAAATTTGTAATGAAGATTAAAACATACATCCACAGCAAATCATCCTCCTTAAAATGTCAAGCTACGTAAAACTGATATTAGTGAGAATAATTGAAATATATCGAATATATATTATAGATGATTAAATTTTTTTTTAAAAACCCTCATTATTATTGGTTAAACTCGCTCGGCCGACTTATCAAATATGCCAGGGAGTCCTTTGGCGATAAAAGTGTATGTGGCTTGCCAGCATCACCCGGATTTTTTGGACAAGTTTACTCCTGCAGGATGTTGAACCTTATCATCGGTGCTCCGAATTGCGCAACAACTCGCTTTGTACCCTTCTACTCTTTTGAATAACTCCATAGTTTCCTTCCTCACAAACGGCCTGTTTTCATTCTTCTCCTTTAAATATTTAGGCGATCCTGTGCAATGTTAGGTCATTAGGTGTTATCGTGAAACAATAAATTCCCTTATTTTTTCACAATAATAAGTCAAATTATTTTTTAATTTTCCTTTTTTTTTAGCTGATTGGATTTTAAAATTCAGAAAAGATTTTTCCATTATTTCACTAGCTTCTATAGTGAAAAAAAATCAAATTGATAGGAAGAACATATCGATCAAAATGTTATTGAAAATTACAAAGGAGAATGGAAAAATGATAAGCGATGTGGTTTTGGTATAGCTGAAAGAAGCGATGGATTGAAATATGAAGGTGAATGGTTCAACAATAGAAAATGTGGTTATGGATTGACGACACTTAAAGATGGAACGTTAGTTTATTTTCATCCCTTGTCGATCTGCGTTTAACTTTTATTCTTATTAACTTTTCATTTAAATATTTAGTTGAGCAATTGGACCAAACAGGGCGGGAAGCCATACGCTGGAATTTTAATGCAGTCTCTATTATTGGACTTTATTGGTTCATATTTAGAATTTTCTACATTTATTTTTATGCTTGCCCTAAAATCAGTTCAACGCATATAATTATTCTTCCTTTATCAAATTTTTTTCCAATTTATCCTTTATTTCCTTCGTATTTAATCATAAGAAAATTTCTTTTAGGAGGGAAGAAGGAAAATATAAAAATAATATATTAATATGTTCTATACGAAAAAAAGGCCTTTTATTTGTTCGATCTTCAAAATTAAAGGAAAGAATTGAAAATGCTGTCGATGCTGCAAATCGTGCTGCAACAATTGCTCAACAAAAAGTTCTCTTTTTAATTTTTATTTCGTTGATATTTTCATTTTTTAAATATATAAAAAAAAGTTCAATTATATATGAAAAGTAGAATTTCATTCAAATTGGTTCATTCAATAAAAGCAAGGCATTTTCAGGCAGATATAGCAATATCTCGTGCAGCAACAGCTCGAGAAAGGTCTGAACAAGCGGAATTTATTGCTTCGCAAGCACGTGAAGATGCAGATACAGCTAGGATATATGCTAAACAATTCGCACCTGAATTTAAACAACCGGGTACAGAAGTAATACGAATGAATCGTATGCAGAATCATGCGAATCATGTCTCATTTGAAGATCCATCAAAAAGGATATCGTATGAATCGCGAGATCATTTATCTGATGATGTTGTCATTTTGAATACTCCACAGTTTCCTTCCCCACAAATGGCCTATTTTAATCCTTCTTTAAATATTCAGCAACAATCTTCAACAACACCGACTATTACTACAGTAATACAAAATTCATCAAGTCAGTCGACAATGCGTCAAAATCCTTATCAGTATGATAGTAAACCGGCAAATTATATGCAGTACAGCACAAATAACATTGTTAATAATCCGCCAAATCTTACTGATGCAAATTATCATCAACAATATCGAAGGCAAGCAAAATATTCGGATGTCGCATATGATGTAGCTACTCCATCTTCGTCTTTTCAAGAACAGCAGCTTGCTAGTTGCAATTATCAACAAAATTATGATGCTCTTTCTATTCAAATGGTACAAAATGAACCACAGCCCAATGCGTTGCAGGTCTGACCAGTTTATTTTCATAGGTTCTTGTAAAGTAATAAAAATAATCTTTTACAGACTGCGAGTATGCTCTGCTATATCTTAATATACAATACTTTTAAAGCATTTTAGCCAAATTTTGAACTTGTGCTGCATAATTTTTTTTGTTTTTTTTATTTTGCTTAAAAATCTTCATATCATCCTTTCTTTACATGAAATTTTTTTGTTTTTCAACCTATTTAACCATTGTCCCTTTTCTGTATAGCTTCTCATTTTCAATTTTCAATTTTCAATTTACCAGCTCAATCAGTCAAAAAAATTAGATTATTTATAGACATTTAAAACGGTATCATTTTTCTATTATTAATTTTTCTGTTATAGTTAATAAATTCATCTAAACAAAGCTGTTCACGAATGTCTTTAACTGATGATCATTATGACCAATATATGATGGCAGCAAATCCGAATCAAACGAGAGTTATACGAAGAAATCGGCCTTCGTTAACACGTCAACCTTTTGCTGTTCATGATACATGTCAAGTAAATTTTGTTTTTATTTCGAAGCAAATCATGATTAGATCATTCTGAACGGTAATGCCAAAATTTTCCAGTTCCCTACTGAATTTTGACTTTTTAAATTTAACTAATAATCTACAGGTGAGTTCTTTTAAAAAAGTTTTTTTAAATCATTTTTATATCTATTTTTAAATTTTAAATTTTAAATATTTTGATTGTAATATTATTTCATAATAAATTTTTGATTTCATTTTTATAGCTGTATTTCAGGTTCTTAATAGGCGATCAACCTTAGCCTCATCAGCATCAACAGCGTATAAAAATAAAGAAGAAATTATAACAAGTATATCAGAAACAGTTGCTGAAGAGAATCGTGGTTCATTACCTAATATTTCTCAGCTTGAGAGCGTAGGAATTTATCTGAGGAGAGAAGAAGCTGCACGTCTTGCTTCACAACAACGGCAAGAATTACAACGTTTATTAGAGGAGGAGCAATTGTTAAGGAGTAATCCTCTACGATATTTATTTCATCCTGCTTTAAAAGTTTGTTTTTTTGTTAAAATTAATATAATATTTCAATTAGTATTTTTTCACTTCATGGAATTCTTTTTTTTCTGGCGTTAAAGTTTGAAAACAAATAGTTTCGCAGTTCACCACTTATTGAAACATAATTTCAAAAATATTAGTAGCCAAAAAAAATTTGATAAATTTATAAATTTTATGCAAAAGAATTCCATAAAATCTTTCATTATTTTTTCTCAAATAATTTAGATAAGACAATATAGATAATTTAGAAGAATAAATATTCAATATTTTCAACTATTTTATGTAAATTGATCTTCCTTTGTGAGTGGTTGTTGCTTCAGCTTCAGTAGCAAGCAGCATGGATTCAAGTCTGTTGACAGAAGAGAAATTGTTATGAAATTTGGTTGGCTGCGAAAGGATTCGTTTTAATAGTCAGTCAGCCGGTGCTTGGTGAAGAAAATATTTGTAACTAAGAAACTCATTTCGAATAAAAGATTTATTAATCTTATTAAGAGAAATATTGATAAGTATTAAGAAAAATATTAAGAGAAATATTTTATCGATATAATAACTCGTTTATTTGATTGTTAACTTATTCTCCTAGTTTTAATTTCAGGCCTGGTTAATAAGGTGGAAAATGCCACTAATGTTGACAGTTGCGAATTTATTCCTTATGTTGGTTTTTTACAATCTGCTCACTTACGAAAAACGACATCGTTCATAACTTTATGCATAATTTTGCTGCTTTAACGATATTCTATTTTATTATTAAATATTATTATTTTCTGATTTATTTGTACACACTGCCAATGCTGTTGTTATCATAATATTTTTTATGGTAATTTAGGGCACTTACTGCTATTGCCAGTAAATTTAGTGCCCATATTCCATTTGTATTATTTTTTTATTATATAATATTGATCCTATTATATTATGCACTTTCATGACGATTATTTAATATTTAATTTGGTTTTTTTTGGTTTTACTCTTAGCTATTAACTCTCCGATTGTTTGTCTATGTGGCCTTATTTATGTATTTTGATAGAATTTCTAGTATATTTTTAAATAATTATTTAATACTTATAATCGATTATATAGTCGATAATTAAAAAAAAAATGTTTGTTTTCCTATTAAATTATATATAAAAACGACAGAAACCTTAAGTTCTATTAAGTAAAAATTGCATAATTGTTTCTCTCAAAAAGTTTTTCATCTAAAGCATTTTCATTTAAGCAGCAAAGTAAATCAATTTTAAGTTGATTCTGAACTAATAAGCTAAAAATAAAATGTGGAGATTTTATGAAAATTTTGGAAATATTTTATCTAGAAGTGCACCGATTTTCTATTTTATTATAGGGTAGTGTAGACAAAAATTATGCTGATAGGCAAAGCAATTTATCAACTTAACGATTTGAAATGCTTAAAAAAATAAAATTTTAATCAATAAGACTTCTTACCAAAATACCACGTAGAAATATATATAATATTAGAAACTTCTCAATCTTCTAAACGCCTTATTTAATAGTTCCTAAAGACAAAAATGGTGAGTGCTATCAAAAAAGAATTTTTATCGTCAACATTATGAGTCTTTTATGAGAGCAAACAAATTTTCCCAGGGAATCACTTGACAATAGAAGTAAATGGGTCGGTAGCCGAATTTTTACAAAGACACAAAGATATCCTACCATGAAAAGAAAAATTAAATTATCACAGCAAAAGAATATTTTAAATTATTATCGTTAACATTGATACATAACGTGAATGAACAAAAATATGCTAAGAATAAACTATTATTCGCTGGTCTAACAATATTTTGTACTATAGAGAATATTGATGGGAAAATACAAAAAAAGATTGGCAGCAATTGATTTTCACTGGTTTTATATAAAATAAATGTTACCGATAAAAAAATAAAGTGAAAAAAAAGTTGAAAATAAGAAAAAATTTTCGCAGAGATTGAAAAAGTAAACATTGCACAAAGATTAGAAATATCTTTTTTCAAAAGATGGAAAAGATGGGAATGAAAAAATCCATAAAAATTTTAGATGAAACTTTTATGAAACTTTTTTTGTTAAACCTTAATCAATATTCGTCACTGGTGGTTTTTCGATTATACGAGCACTTATAAGACCTGCACCAGTGTCAATTGAAAGCTAAAAAAAATAAATCATTCACTATTGTCAAGACGTGAAAAATCAGGAAAGATTTTGAACGCATAGGTGGACCAGTAATATATGGACTTAAACGATGGAAAAAGGAATGACTTAAACGATGGAAAGGAAAGGAAAAGGAAAGGAATTACTGCCAACGATGGCACCGCGCAGCTTGGAAGTGTCTTACCCTTGCAGCCGTTGAAGCCAGCCTAACCAGTAATGGTGTTAGAAAAAGAAGTGAAAGATAAAAGCTGTTTTGCATAAATATAATACTAATATAATAAATAAATAGCTATGTAATCTTTCGAAATAAACCTCATCATTGAGCGTAACATCAGAATTGATCCAAGCGAAAGCAAGAGGGCAATTTAGACGAACACTGTAAGTTCCTGACGTGATTTGCCCAATTCTCTGAAAAATTAAATCTTAATACGATGAATTATAAAAATGCCCTCCTTGCTTTAAGACTTTAAAGATAGATAGATAATGAATAAATGAAAATTGATAGATAAGGTTTTCGATTTATTTTCGAATCAATTTTCACTCTTCTTATTGCGTGCGAACTACGCCACTGCTCGAAAATAAGCATATCGAAGAAAGAATACCTCTTCTTCACCTTTACGTCGAATAACTTCCATTCCTTTAGGAACGCAAGCCCAATCTTTCAGATCTTTCAAAGGGTCACATGCAATAAGGACCTAAAAAATTAAACTTTTGGGAAATTGATATTTTGGAGTAAAATTAAATTCAATCTAAATAAATAATCTAAATAAAAAAGTCAAAAAAATAAAAATTTTAAAATTTAGTCTATATTTATATCTACAAAATAATCACCAGACGCCTCTTCCATTTAGTATCAATAATTTTAAGAAGAGCATTTCTACCAATGAAATCTTTTTTTGTAATATCCACTAAGTGCTCCAAGCCACATTCAAAAGGATTCGTATCCAAAGTCAACTGAAAAATAAATAAAATTGGATGACTTTTCTAATAGCGTTTGAAAATAAAAATCGCTTAAAGAATTATCAAAACTATAGATTATCGAAAAAACGAATATAAAAAATCACTTCTCTGCCCCAAAGTTTGAATCCATGTTCTATTCTAAGCATATTATGAGTTGCTTGACCAAAATTGACAATACCAAATTGTTTTCCTGCTTCTCTGATTGCATTATATAACTTTAGAGTGTCAGCCCTGAAAATACAAATAATACGGCACAATGACAACTTTCACGATTGTAAACAATTTCATGACCAGTATAAATAATAGATTACAATTAACGCGTTAAGCTTGCTTTATGTATAGTTCGATTAAGCTCGATTTAAGCTCGATTTCTCACCTCTAACAAGAATAAACAAAAGTGTATTACAACAACATTAAAAAAGGATTTCGAACTGATTAAAATAAAAAATCAAAAAGAAAATGACTGAAAGCCTACTTACTTTAATATTATTTAATTTAATTTAACAGATAAACACTTAACTATTGTGAAAAAATTCATATGATAATTGTCCCATAGTTGTCGAAGTTCGTGCAGCTAATACAGGCACATTTTGTATTCTAATAAGACGAGTAGAGCGTTCACCAAAGCTTTTGTCTGATACATCAGTTATCGTCAAATTTTGTAAAACCTATATTGATTTAACATTGAAAAAATGTTTGGACAACAAAGAAAAAAATCTTAATGTTTATTTAAAAAAAATTTAGTTTAGAAAACTTGCTTCACGGCTACAAGGACCAACTAATGCAACTGAAGCCAGATATTCACCAACTGCCGAAATATCAACGTTTGCTCTACGCTCAGCAGCTACCCGTTTCATCCAATCTATATCGCGAGATTCTCTTTCTGGATCAGTTAAAAGGATAAATTCTGTCCTATAAATAAAATAAACAATAAACAACTAATGCGACTGAAGCCAGATACTCACCAACTGCCGAAATATCAACGTTTGCGTGAAATATCGTGGAAAATAAACAAATAATAAAAATTAAATAAAATAAAAAATAATAAATAAAATAAAAAGTTTTTTGAATTAGAACCTAAAAAAGAAAAAAACTAAAAATATATAAGAAAAACAGAAAATTTCAAAAACGCAATACCTAAATTGATCATGATGAAAAACTTTTAAGGGTGCTAATATATTGCCATTGGTTGTTAACATTAGTCCAGAAGATATGGTTCCCAATTTCGGTACTTGATTTGTAAGTAGATGATATAAAAAATCTACAGAATCTGCACCACGAACCTTCAAACAAACACTGCGAAAAAATTTTTAAAGACATAATCTAGGAGTAAGCAAAGATCATTAACATTAATAAATATTTGTATATTATATGCATTGAAATATTTAATATTTAATATAAAATATAATATAAAATAATTAAATATAACATAATTTTTAGAAAAAGAATATCCAACCTCAATTTTACTTTTCCACGAGAGATCAGTAATACCACATTTATTTGTAACCATCTGATATTCACGAATGACTGCAGAAGCTGGGGATTCATCATCCACAGGAAATGTTTCAGCAACCTCAAACAAAAATAGATCAGATATCCAAATTACATATCAAAATCACTTTTCAATGAATAAAGTTAAAAATTTCTTTGTAGTTTGATCGTAATAAATTTTACTAACAACAGTAATAAATTTCTCTAGATACGAAAAATCATAAAGAAGTACTAAAAAAATATAGAAAAGAAGGAAGATTATATGTAATTGAACATAAAATACAGATTATATAGATAAGATTATTATACCTCCCATCCATTCCGAAAAGTGAATATACCACCTTGTTTGGCCAATCGAGCATAAATTCCACTAACACGTTCACTTGGTCGTCCAGCCAAGCGATTTACATATGACCAGTTATAAAACATAGAATATGTTTCCTGAGATTTTTCTTTGATAAATTTTCGTGTTGCCCAACGATTAAACCTCAAAAATAATGTGAAAAGTAAATAATTTATGCAAAAGGAAAATAAATGAAGGAAAAGCAATAAAGAAAAATACTAAATTGCTATAAAATGTTCAATAAATATAAAAGAACCAAAGAAAAGTAAGGATTACCTGCTTGCTTCTGTATCAAAAAGTTCTGAAGGTGGTTCGCGATCTACTATCCAATCTGCCAGATATTTACCCATTCCACCACAACTCGATATGCCATCAAAATAACCAACCTTTGAATGAATAAAGCAAGGCATTTTAAACTCGATTTTGCGATTCTTTTCAATTGAGGACTAAAACTTCCAACCATCTAGAAATTTTAAAAAATACCTGAAGCCAATAATTTTGACGTTCGTTTGTTGGACCCACAAGCGGATAACCATCAGCAGTTATTGTTACTCCACAAGCCCTTGCATCGACAGGACTTCCATTTAAACATGGTATTAATTCACAGGCACGTCCATAAGCTGCACTTAAACGTTCGAAACATGGTTCCAAAGTTGCCTCTGTTAAACGAGAAAATATATGATGTTGGAACTTGAAACAAATGATAATAGCAATATTAATTTATATATTTTCATAACAAATAAATAAATAAATAATATTATTAATTATATTAATAATTTAAAGACTGAAAAAAAATCGAAAAAAAAACTTTTTGGAAAGGCCTCATGCCAATCTTCTCTAATAACAACATCGGAAGCACGAGGCTCAAAACCACCGAAAAACAAATGATCACCATCTTTTCGTATATAAAATGTACTATCATGGTCGACTATTGCTGGAAGATATTCCAGATTTCCCACCTTGAAAGTATAATTGGAAATTATTTTAATAATTAAGATTGGCATTAAAGGGTAATCCAAATTGCAGAAATATCATATATCTTAAAAAAAAATTTTGTGAACTGGAAAGATGAAAAACAATGAAATGATTAAAATCGTCCATACTTCATTGATAGGTCCAATGGACGCAAATTGATGCTCGACAAATGTTAGTGGCAGATCATAATTTGTCAATTTCGCCACCTCCACCGCCCAAAGTCCTAAAATAAGTTTATCAAACTTTCTCCACCGAATTTACAAATATTATATATTTTAAATATTATATATTTTTATATTTGAAAATAGAAACAATGTCCAGTGAAAATTTTACCGGCTGCATTAACGATATTTATAGTCCGAATTTCTGAGCCATTCTCGAAACGAACAATCCAATCTCCGTTTGACTGTTCAGTAAGAGTAAATGATGAACAATTTTCGATGATTTTTGCTCCTCCAGCTTCTGCTCCTTTAGCTAAGGCACGTGTTAATGCTTCTGTATTTACATAGCCATCACCAGTGGTATATAAGGCACCAAGCACTTTTGATGTGTCAACTATGTTAGTCAACTTTTGAACTTCATTTGCATCTATTAGTGAGGTTTTACAAACATCACCTTTCTGTAAAAATATATTACCATCTCCAAATATCCTCAACTTTTAACATCCAAACATTAGGACAATCATAAAGATCTGAAGTTTGGTTCAAATCCAGTATGTTTAATTACTATTATTCAACAGGAACAAATATCATCAAATATAAAAACAAGCTTGCTGAAATCAAAGGAAATAGTATTTTAAAACAAAAGTTAGAAGGTTAAAAGTTAACAAAAGTTTTTAAACAATTGGATTAATACTTGAAAGTAATCTCGAGCGACATATCGACGGAATTCATTCATACGAGTTGAATTTGTCGCCAAGCGAAGAGTACCTGATCGAGAAAATTCAACTTTCTGAAAAATGATGAAAATAACAAACACCATTCAGCCACTTTTCATTTCACCTTATATCATTTAACCACTATTAATTCCAACTGGTCGAAAAATAGACAAATCGGCAATAAATGAGCAAAGTATTCAGTCTCATTTTTCGCTGAGAACAAACAGAAGCACAAGCGGCTACTAAAAAAAGAAGAAAAATTATCGTTATATTATTAAATTTATTTCAATAAATTCCATAATGAAAAGGACAATTAAATAAATTAAATTACTTCTCCAGTTTCCTCCTCTAATCTCGAATACAAATCAACAGACCTAGCTAATATAGGTTTAAAACGATGTGCTGGATGAGCGGCACTAACAAGACCCGGCTGAAAAGTTTTTAAATTCACAAACAATCAATTTTATAATTTTTAAATTCATTTTGATTCGTTTCTAATAAAAACTTTAAATAATCTGGAATATGTCATTTTTAATTAGCTACTGTCTATATAACCGGGGACTATTCAAAAGCATGTTTATTGTCTAATCCTTAAAATGGCATATAATTGGTATTCTATCTTCGGAGCCTCTTACCTAATTGCTTGGTTGCAAGTCATATGTGGCCTTTGGCTTATACTATAATAACACATTGCGCGAATAATAGACAGGCGATTGCACTGCAAACTGCAATTATCTAAATTATATAAAGTGGCACTACAAATATTGGCAGCGCTTTCTACAAAAAATGTCCTGTTTTTATTATTTCTTTTAAATGGAAAAAAAATTATCTTTAAAATAGACAAATTTTTTAATCAGGAAAAATAACAATTAATAACAAATAACAAAAATAACAATTTTCACCAATTTTTAAATCAAAAAACTAAATTGAAGTTAAATTAAACATATACCGAATGAAATGTTGTTCCCGAACCTAATTTATCTTTTTCAAGAACAATTATGTCGCGAAAATTTCGTTTAGTAAGATGATATGCGACAGAAGTACCAGCAATACCGCCGCCGATTATAACTGCAAATGCATCACCTGTCGGTATTCCACTCGAAAATCTAAAACATTCTATTAAACATTATAAATTAATTCTATTAATCATATAATTTTTTTTATTAAAATAGTTCACCAAATGCGACATTGAAATGCAATTAGATATATTAAAAAATGAAAACATAAAAATCCAATTAAATATATTGTAGGAGATCACCTGATTTGTAAAAAATAAGGCAATTTACGATTGGAAGAATTTAAAAAAACACGTTGCATCTCCACTGAAATCTAAAAATAAAAAACTGTGCAACAGCTTTTCTTGCAAAAACCTATATTATATTCTTCATATAAGCAACTTATAAAGCAAACCTGGCAAGGAAATACTAATAAAAAGGCTAATAACCTACTTTCCAAGTGAAGATTGAAGGGAAAGAAAACTTGCTCTCTGAGCATCGACCGACATTTAGTAATGCAAGGATTTTCGTCGACGTTATAAAAAAATTCGTGGATTTGGATAAAAAATGATCTTTAAATGATCTAAAACCTAATCTTTAAACGAAAATTGGCGGAATTCTTTGCAAAAACTGGAGAAATTTCCGAAAATTTTAGAGAAAAATGATTTAAAATAATTATAAAAATTAATTATTTAAATAATTTATTTTACAAAAAAATACTTTTAAAAAATTTGAGAATTTGACATTCGAAGTTGCACCTAAATATTTTTGGAGAATAACTTATTTAATTTGACAATAATTGGCGAAATAAATGGCTGCGACATCGCCAATGAGAGCGGAAGATATCGAGAAATTTGACGATTTATGGCGGATTTATAATATTTATTTCGAGTAATGAACCTCAGACTGCATCCTCACGAAAAGCATTGGCTGCAATAGGGTGATCACGGGGCGTTGACGGTGCACAGGTACAGCGCAGGTCTCGCTACTGCCGAATGAAGAATGAAAGGCGAGGAGGACTAATCAAAATTCGAACTGGAATGTCCGGGAGAAATTTCGAACTCATGGGTGATTTGCTTCAAAATGACAGAATGGGCGGGGCTGGAGCGTTGGGAACTTCTCACCGATATAACGAGCAGAGCTGGACTCATCGTTAATGGTCCGAACTGAATCATTTAAAAAATGAATCGCCGATTAGTGTTTCAGTTATTATCAGTTATCAGTTATTTTCAGTTATTATATTCAGTTACCATTTTTGAAATAATGGAACTTCAAGGGCGTGGTACTCGACCTGCTTGAAACCAAGTGTTTCTCGTATTATCTTAAGTGAAATTAAGTGAAAAACTTTCAAATTCCTGGGACATATTAATGCAAAATATTAGAAATATTGTCAAAATAAGAAGAAACGTTGCTAAAATGAGAAAGAAACTTCAAAGAATTTTTGCGATGGCCATAAATAATTGGTTGAATGGTTCCAATCGCTTATCGCTTATTATCGCAATTTTGCTTCGCATTTACGAACTTACTAAATCGCTTTATTACTAATTATTATTGCTATTATTTATTATTATTTATTATTATTCTTATTAAATTTTAAAATTACCATTATTGTTTAAAAAAATTTAAATATAAAATTTGCGTATTTTTAAAAAATTTCTCCCAACTTAATTATTAAATAAACGTGAAAAGTATAAATTTAGGAAAACAAATTTTAAATCTTTTAAAAAAAGAATAATTTTTAATAAAATATTTTTAATAAAATCAAACTTATGTGGTGGTTAATTTGCGGAATAAATAATTATTTTAGTCAATTATTAAAGAAATCGACTTTTTTAGACGATAATAATAATTATTAATGCAAAGGAAATATTTAAAAGACGTATAAAAATAAATATAGGGGAAAAGAAAATTTCTAAAGTAAAACTTCTAAATTGAATTTTAATATTTTGGGTATTTTTTTTCTTCACCAGCTAATTTAGCTAATTTCATTAATTAATTATTCTCGAATATTTTAAAAAAATTTTCTTTCCTTTTGTGCAAAAATGGTTAATTCCAAGCATTTCTCATAAAATATAAAAGCTCTGAATTTTATCCTATTGCCTAAAAGACCTGCGTCCACTTTAACTGAGAAACAGCTGGTCGTTTCAACTGAAAGAGGAAACTAGCTTCTCGCCTGATTAATCGGTCCACCTTACTTTACCAAAGGCCAGAGGCAGTATCGCAACAGTTTCCTCTTCTTCATTATCTGCTATAATTTACAGTAACTCTCACGAAATGTATAATAATCATGGAACGAATTAACTGTTTCGAAATGATATCGAAATTCATTGATATTGATTGAATCGCTTTAAATGTTTTGTTGATCAGTGATTTCTCGAATTTCCTCGAATTTTACATTACTTTTTTTCCTTTGGAATATTTTCAAAATTTTTATAATACTTTTACACAACTGTTTGAGTTGAGCAGATTTTTTAATAATAAATTGAATGTCTTAGTGAATAATTAAATTGCATTATTGCATTTTATAATTATTTGCACATTTACGACGATTTCGTATCTTGCAAGGAGCGGTGATAATCAATAATAATCAGTTAACAATGATAACAATAAGAGGGGCATGAAATTACATTCACTATTCATCGATATTCTACGTTAACTTTTATTACCGATTTGCGATTAGAATTTCAAATATATGTAAATAATATTGAAATATTTTGAAAGAAATTATTACAAATGAAAAAAATTCGTGAAAAATCAGATCAATGTAAATATGAGAAAATTCTTATCGCCTTATGTGCAGATAGCTCTTCGCCTATGTTGATTAAACCATCACAGTAATTGGGGTAATACCTCGTTGCATGCCAAAGTCTGATGTATGATGACTTGGACTGGTCACGAAAAATCCCATGGAAAAAATGAGTGATTTTTGTTAAACTTAGATATGGCAGCGAAAAGGTATGTGTCTGGGAAAGTATAGTCTAAGGCTTATCATTGGAAATAGAAAAGTGGACAGTGGTGGGCACTTGCCGCTTTCCATCACCAGGGTGACTTTCTGGCGAAACATCTTCATGTTAAGCATCCATGCTAAAAAGGAAAAGAAGCAAGTGACACCATCCATTTTTCTCTTCGCTAGAATCAAAACCCTTTCCAAGCCTTTCGATCTAATTTTATAAATGAAAATGCCTAAACTCAGCCTGTCCTTATTTATTTAAAATTAATAAATTTTGCCTATTCACATATAATGTCGATGAAATAAATTCTCTGCTGTTTGCCTAGCTTTATAAATAAGGACCTAAAAAAAACATTTACTAGCACAGAGAATCGATCCCTGAAAATAGAAATTGGTGACAATTTAAAAAAACCTGTTGAAAATCAGAATTTTATCAAATTTTGCCGTTCGATCAGCAAAATAACAAACAATCTGGTTAAGTGTGGAAGAAAATCCATATTCAGCTGTATAAACTAATCCATTTCAGGATGCGATTACATTCGACTACTTTTTCATTTTGCTCAGCGTTCATAAATTGCCTTCCATATTTCGTACTTAGTAATATAACTGCGATTTATGACTCAATTAAGACTCTCTCTTGGAACTCTTTGATTTCCACAGCTTTCAAAATTTTAAATTTTGAAAAAAACGGGTTCAATCGCTTTCGTTTGATTTTCAAATGCAGTCTGTTTACTCAATTGATTTCATGTCCTCGAAAATTGTTTTGCAGTTTCATTTTATTTTTTCTTAGAAACTTCTTAAATTTGCCATTCGTTAATATTTTGAATATTTTGCCACAAAATTATTTTAATTTTTTCTGTAAAAATTCGAAATCTGATAATAATCGCAGAATCTTTCCATTGCTAAAGTGTTGATTTTCTCCTCTTTTTATTTTATGAAAAGGATTCCTTGATTTATTTTTTTTCCACAAAAAGCGCTGATTTTAGCGATAAAAATGCCCAATAAATTTTTGATGGCGCCTATGATAAATATCGCTTAATTGTCCGAATAGGTGAGACATATTCTCATCGAATTAATCCTGAATTTCGGGTTTGTAAAAGTCTCGTTGTTTTAAATTTTAAATTAGAATGCTCGTTACTGCTCACCATTTCTGCTTGGACTAATTCGTTGGCTATGAACACGACGAGAAATTTTTATTATGAGGGAATCATTTGATGACAGAAGTACAGCTGGTCTGCCAGTTTGGATTCTTCACAGATATATTTACTCCTGTTGAGAATCGAATTTTAATGCTCTGAGGGGGTAATCTGAGCAAAAACTACTGCGCTGTTGAAAAGTCTTTAATATTACCATTTCTTGCGTCTTGTTAGGTCCATTTTATTTTTTCGTTTTTTTTTTTTTTCATTTCCATTATCGTTTGTGGCTTCTAAATGAAACAAATGGCTGCTTCGCTCTGATTTGCTTTGTAAATTGTAAAATTAGTGATATTTGTAGAAAACCATAAATAACTAAAAATCGCCAAAAGTTTCAGTTGTAAAATCTTACCCGCAAAATAATTCTCATCATTTCTGGCTTAGCTGGTTTCATTGATAAAACTTTTCGCCAGAGAGTAAAAGTTGTGATAAAAGCATAGATCCCATAAATTTATTGGCAAAAAAGACCGAACAGTGGAATGGCTGTGATAAGGTGCATTATGTTCTCTATCAAGGAATAGGAACCGAATTTCGTGGCTTGAATTTATTGATAATCTGAGTAGTATTGCCTATAATTGATATAAATGCTGATTTCTCTGATTCTGATTGCTTTTTTTTGCTGATAAATCTCGAATGTGATTGCAAGGAAAAGATTTTATTGAGCTACGTATTTCAGATATCCTCAAGAAATCGAACTCATTGTCTTTAATTTTTTGTATTTAACTGTAAATTTTCCATCTTTTTCTTCAGTACTATTGCGCATGGGCTTATTTAAAAAGCAGTCCAAAGATACGAAAACGAACGAGACTTTGTTAGTTGATGGAGAAAGCCAAGCAGTCAATGAGGTAAGCAATGAACTATTTTGGTATAAGAAAGGCTATGGTTCGTGGCACTTTTTAAAAACGCAGACAAACGCAGACAAAAAGGACAGATGAACAGCGACAGCGCCATTTCTTTTTTGACGTCGAGGACCCAATAGAAATTATTAAATAAAGGGAATAGATTTTTGCCATTTAATAGCGAAAAAGTTGCTTAATTGAAGGATAGTCCTTTGCTTTCGATTACTTTTACCAAATGTCATAGGTTATGGCGTTTAAATGACTATTTTTAATTGCTGGCATATTGATAGTTTTTGACAAATAACAAATATGTATGACGATTAGGAATTGGCAAATAAGATTTGACAAGTAAGACAATATGATAAATTCAAATTGTCAAATAGGATTTTGCAGCAAATTTCAAATTTTGCTGCAAAATTTTTTTATGATCAAAATATTTCGAGTATTACTGAAGGATTTTAAAGGATAACGAGTCAGTTCAAGAGGACGGCAATCCGGAAGAAGATTATGTTACACTTCTCATGAAAGTGCGCTTAAAATGCGGACATAATCTCGTTGTTCGCGATGCTTCAGGTTTTCTCTCTTCTGGCGAGAAAAGTTAGAAGAATTTTGAAAATCAGGTTTCTTCGGGTAATTATTCAAACAATTTCAGGAAGTAGTGATCCGTACGTTAAATTTAAATATAAAAATCGAAGTTGTTTTAAAAGCACCGTTCTTCACAAAACCTTAAATCCAGTATGGCAAGAAGAATTCTCTTTGCTAATCGACGATCCAACTTCGCCCGTTTCAGTGGATGTCTACGACTGTGGGCGATTCGCTACTGATTACATGGGCAGCGCTATAATTGATATCAGTCATCTTCGCCTTTTTCAGTATCTTATGCTGTTTTTCAAAAAATAAGAAAATTTCAATCTCAGCAAATTTCTTAAATTCATCCAAAAACTATTACGGAAATTTAATTCAAGAATAGTAAAGAAATGCACGAATGTAATGGTATAATAAACAGAACTTTAAGAGAAACTGAACTGCAACTCAATCTGACCCGAGAAGGTGTTGAGGAGAAGTTGGGTCAATTGGATCTTACTGTTACAGTTAGCCCACTAACGTCAGGTGAAAAAGATGAAGTTAGTGTTCGCAAGAATCCTCTCTAAGCCACCATTTTCATAGAAAGGAGATTCTGAACCAGTTATTCTCCTCCTTGCACCATCTCTGATTTGGCTTCCTCCACTTCTTCTTCCAGCTCCACTGGGCTACTCTCAGTTACAACGCATCCAAATTGCCTGGTTTGGCTCAAATTTTTGTTTGTTCACAGCGAAATTTGCCTAGAAACCGCCTCATTTAGCAGATATTTTCAGTATATTTTCAATATTTTCCTTAGTTTTACTAATTTCAGTTTCTAAAAAAATCTGTGCGCGGTATAGTTAGCGAACGAGCAAAACGCCCAGCTAAATGTCAGTCGATTTCAACAATTATTTTGATTTGTTTATTTATAAATATGACAAAAAGCTATTTTTAGAAAATTATTTTTTGGCGTATTGTAGAATTTCGCGGCTTTTCTAGAATTTCGGCTATAAAATCGAATTGGCTTTTCAGCCACACAAGTTTGGACGTCTATAGCGAATATTGTCTTAATCGAAGGAAGAAATCTGCCCTTCGCTCCGGGCACCTCGTCGCTTCCTGATCCGCTGGTCAAGTTCAGACTTGCTTCAGAGAAGTACAAGAGTAAGGTATTTGGGCTTTCTTCCTCGACTCTTTTAATTCTTCCTAAAGAAATATTGAAAATTGATAATTTTACATTTCTCGCTGGTGTCAAGGATGAGTTCTGCATGCGAATATTTCTCACTATGGAAGACTGTTGTGAGAATCAGTGAGAGAGGGGGTATTCCATAAATTACATTTTGTAGCCGATTTCAAGAACGGCAAATCCGAAGTGGCTGGAACAGTTTGACTTGCATTTGTATGAGCAATCCAAACACTTACTGGAATTAATGGTAATCGACCGGCGTTCGAATTCAATTTTGGGAAAGTTAGTTCAATTTAATTTAATTATTTAATAAACGAAGAACCGAACTTTTAATATTTCAGTAAAGCAGAAGGATCATTGAAAAATCATTTCCTCTTGTCCATTTCTGATCATTTCTTCTTATCAGCGTAGCATTTCTGGTTTGGTTTACTGCACCGTCGGCTCGGCTGAACTACTTCCAAGAAAAGCATAAAGTTCTAAAGTTATACTAAGAGAAGTTCAATATTTACAGATGTAACATTGATCTGGATGAATTACGAAGCGAAACACCTAATCAGCTGCTTTGCGACCTCGACCCCAACGGAGGTGACTTTTTTCTGCGGCAATGAACTGGAATGAAGTGAAAAATGACTTCGGCCATTAGCCATATTCTTATTAGCGATTAAAAATGCACAAATATTTTTCTATTCTTAGCCGAAATGAATTGTAACACTTTAAGTGGTTTAAAGATGGTTTTTCTTTATTTCATGCGATGATTTTTATGCTCAGCAAAATGACTTCGAATTATAGGAAATTTTTAAAAATTGAGTGGATGGTTAGCGCTCATTGTTTCTCGTTAGATTAGCTGTGCTGGCTGTTCGAAATTTTGCCAGCATCATTTTAAGCCGCCAGCGCCATCCATCCATTGCGGAATATTTTTTAAAGTCGTGAAGTCGACAGTGAGAAAAGGATTTTGTGCGGAAACTTGGATACAACGCAATCTTGGGAATCCAAATTTTTTCCTCACTGGAACAGTTTCAGATTAACTGTTCGATTTGAAACGTTGCAAAGAGTGATACTCGCTAAAATGCTTAATTTTAGGTTCCATATTATTACTTATCGCGAAAACTGGAACAACATCAATCGAACAGGTCAATGATTTCGCTGAATATACTAACAATGACATACGCAATGCAACTATTCAAAAATATGTTAGTTTATTTAATTTTTCTAGGAGTGCTCACTATTTCTGGTTAGGCCTCTTCCTTTGTCTTATCGGGCCAGAAAACTTTTGTCATTGAATCACATGACACTGATAGAATAACTCAGTTATCATTCTGATTGTTGAAAGATACAGATTAACTTCTGAATTCAGCTAAAAAAGAAACCGGCATTTCTAAGATTTCTATGTTGAAAAGCCCAGTGGCCAGAATCGCTTAACTTTAGGCAATCATCTCAAAGAGAAATTTGGTGCTCATTTGGCTTTTTCTGGCCTTTTTTCGACTGAATCTCGAAGACAGTCCTCTGAAATGTTTGTGAAGCGCTGAAGCAGAAATTATTGATTGCTGATTTTTTATTTTTTAAAATTTAAAATTTTTCAAAAAAAAATTCGTTGACCTTATTACTTCATCGATCACATATCTTGTCAAGTTTACTATATTTCTAACTTTCATCATAAACAAGTGAATTTACTGACGAATAAATCAAGTCAAGTTATGAGTTTGTTTTTTTTTAATTTGGTTTCTTAAATTTGTGGTACCAAACATTCATTGAAAAAATGAGTGACTTCAAATTTCAATGGCTATTGAACGAAAAAATTCTTGAACTTTTTAAGCGTACTATAATTACGATAATTTATTTGGAATATCCAATTTTCTATGAGGTTTTTTTTATTTTTCAGGGTTTGCTAAGAACATTTGAGAATATTGGAAATATAGGACATCTTATCGTAAAAGGTTTGCATCATATTAAAGAAATAGTTAATCTAGGTTTAACTATTTATGTGTTGAAACTATTTATGTATACTCAAAGACCATAAGTAGGTGAAGATTAGTGCTCACTTACCATTTTTAGTTAGGTTAGTTCCACTGACCATTATTGCCGTTTGAAATTTTTGCCAGAGAATTATCAACCAAGATACAAGTGGGTAGTGGATCAACCGGGTTTTTTGACATGTTTGGGCAGTAATCAAACTTTTCCTTTGAATAATATGAAACTACTCCACTCGGTTCCCTAATTTTGAGGATCATTATTTTATTTTAAAGAAGAGTAGAATATTTAAAGAAGAGTTTACACTTTAGGTTCAAGTTTGGAACCTAAATTTCCTGGATCATTTTCATATAAATCTCACTATGCTGTCTCAACAAAGAAAGTTTTGCAGTTTTTCGAGCTCGTGATCTACTTGTGGTTGATACAGCCAATAAAATTCATCCATTTGCTGTTCTCGAATTAGTTAACGCACGACTGCAAACACATTCAGTCAAGGCTTCGAACCCCGAATGGAATAAATTGTTTACTTTGTAATTGCCATTTTTTTCATCAGCTGCAGTCAGAGATTTTGCTAGTAAAACCCATCTTTTGGACTAACGGAATAGAATCGTCTTCAACCCTTGTACAACCTTTCATGTCTCTTCAAAACTCGTTATACTGCTTTAAACTTCTAGAATTCTTACTCCTCCTTTTCCATAATTTTCTCCCAGCAGCTTCTAAATCCTGCCATACTCGTTCATTATCCTTCCCTCCTCACCTTTTGTTTTCCTTTTTCTAGATGTATAACTTGTAACATGTTTTTTTAGCCGATTTTAAAGTGATTTACAGCACAATTCGTGATATCCATTCAGTCCTCGAAATTACTGTTTACGACGAAGACGTTAATAAGAAAACTGAATTTCTTGGCAAAGTTGTGATACCTTTGTTAAAAGTACCGTTTTCTGTATTCCCTGTTCCCGAATTTTTTCAGTTTTCGAAATTGTAAATTTTAAGGAATTTAGATTCGTAACTGTGAAAAACGGTGGTATGCACTAAAAGATAACAAATTGATATCACGGACAAGGGGGCAAATATTACTGGAGATGGATGTAATATGGAATCCGGTATTTTGTTCTTTTTTCTTTTAATGGTTCTTATCATTATTGATTTGCTTGGCTTCAGCGGCCACCAGGCGTTTCCATTCCCATTTATTCTTCATTGCTCTGATAAAAATTTTATCGTAAATATTTATATTCTAAAAATTATGAATTCAAGTTCTAAGTTTTTATTTTATTTTGCTGTTTTTATTATATTAAATTTTTGAATTCCATATTTTATATTGTAGATTCGTGCAGCGATCAGAACGTTTAGTCCAAGAGAATCCAAATATATGCATGTTGAGCCCAAGTTTAAGCGCCAACTGTTCATGAACAACTTTAATAGGTTTGCTTGATTCTTTATAAATCTGTTCCAAAAGATCCGCACTAGTTTAACTGCTTTTTATTTCAAATAACACAATATCAATCAAAAATACAAACTTAATTTGAAGCTAAAACAATTCAACCACGTATTGGTAAAGAAATTAGGATAAATTTTAAAAATTTTGAATATTACCACAAAGTAATTCTTTGAATCAGCAATTTTGCGCAAATAAAATATATATAAGAAAGTGTTCCATCGGTGAATATATATGATACTAGTTTCAGATTAAAGAAATTTGTGGCAGTTCTAATTCAAGGATTAGATTTTGTCCAAAGTTGTTTCAACTGGGATAATCCTATAAGATCATTAACTGCTTTCTTTGTAATTTTTTAATTTTTTACATAGGTAAATAATTGGTTCACCATTTCTGATTCGATTTACATGAATTTAGTAAGAGACTTGCCAGAGAGTCATTTGGGAATAGAAATATAGCTGAGTCTTCAGAAGCATGCGAATTTTTAGGCTAACTCTTCCCCAGGACGAACGCCTAACTGGTCAAAATAATAATCTTGTTTATGTCATGCGTTCAGTTTGGAATGTTATGTTAATTTGCTAGATTCATCGCTTTTTGAAGTCATTATTTGACCATATTTTTGGCTTCCTAACTTATTGTTTTTTAGGTATTTGTTTCTATCACATATTTCATCGAATTGTATCATATTCCACTTTGCCTGCTGATTCTCTTTCTAAGACCACCTACAGTGCAGCAAAATATCATTCGAAATTCTTCACAGACAAATGTTCCGTTAGAATATCCTGGTTCTGGATCCGAGGATGAGGAGGATTTAGCTGATACGGTTTGCTTTATTTTGAATCGTCACTTTCTCATCACTTTCCTCTTCCAATTTTATTTTCAGGGTGAAAAGAATCCAACGACGTTAATGCAGCGTTTGAATACAGTGCAGGAAACGTTAGCGATGGTTCAAAATACGTTAGATTATTTGGCTTCGTTACTGGAGAGAATAAAAAAGTAAATTTAATTTAAAAAATTTGAAATATTGATATTGATAAAAAGAAGAGAAGAAACATTTAAAGAGGTAAAGAGGTAGCTGTCGATATTTCTGGTTAGGCTTACTCCGCTGGATGTCAACATGCCTAGAAATTTTTTTTATTGGACAATTTGACAACAGAAGTACAAAATGGCTTACCACTACCAACCAGATTTAAAACTAAACTCAGTTTTACCTCCTTAGCCGAAGAGAATCCATTATATGCATGTTGAGTCCAAAGGAAATCGAACTCCTGATGATTAATACGGACGGAATCAACCCTCTCTTCCCCCCAATATTTTGACTCGAGTCATATGTTGCTTCAATTAAAATCAGGCATTCTAATTCCCAACCTTAGCAATTGCAAACGGTTGTATGAATATAGCAAATATTTTCTTCGCATAGTTGAATTGAAATACCTAATAATACCTATAATACCTGTAAATCATTTAAAAATCAGCTTTATCAATGGGCCATTTTGACGAAAATATGCATATTTTGCATCAAAGTTAGTGGGTAATATTTTACAGCACATTCAATTTTACTCAACCATATTTATCTCTACTCGCAATCGTTATTCTTATTTTCGTTACAATAATTCTTTATGCTGTTCCTCTACGATGGATTATAATTATCTGGGGTATGTATATATTTTAATTTTAATTTTAAATTTTATATTTTAAGTTTAAGGATGGAATTTATTTTTTGTGTAAGAGATAAGCAATAATTCAAAATAGGAATTCATTATTTATAAATTCAATAATTTAACTATAAAGTCTGCCCGAAGTCAATTTCGGTTTTTTCCTGGCTTCTCTGAATAAACTTTGTGCATCCTTTAAATTTGTTCATAGTAATCCAAAATTTGTTTATTTATGCGATAAAATTTTTTTAAAATTTTGAATGAAATAAAGTATTCAGGTGTCAATAAATTTACCAAAAAATTACGTAATCCAAATTATATTCCGAATAATGAATTACTCGATTTTCTCTCGAGAGTTCCTTCAGACGGCGAATCGGTAATAATCCCTAATTTTTTTTGACTATATATGGTATATATATAGTATAAATTTTTCTAAGGAATTAAGATATTAATTTTCGATAATTTGTAAACATTTTTCGCATTATTATCCTTGTCACTTATCATCATTTTTTATCATTTACCCTTATTCTTTACCTTCCTAATTCTTTTCTGATGTAAAAGCATTCTATAATTCTTATTTTTTGCATCATTAATTTATACTTTACGGTTCAATGAATCTTTTAAAATGAATCTTTCAATGAATCTTTTAAAATGCAATGCTTAAAAGCTTAAAAAGAATATTTGTTTCAGAAGGCGTATAGCGAGATGATAACAGAAAGTGTCGAATTACCAAATGAAAATTTTCAAAGAATCAAGAATACCTTCTAAATTTGTTTATCAATGTATTCAATAGCTTTAAAGATGCTTTGCCTTAAAATACTTCACTATCAATCCAAAATCATGAACTAAAATTTCATTTTCATAGGTTTAGTCATTCAGTTAATTTAATGGCTAGCATTCATCATTTATGATTGGACTAGTTCCATTCACTCCTATGACGATACACTTTTTACTAGAGAATCACTTGGTATAGAAGTACCCAATGAGTCCACACAGGGCTTCAGAGGGCTTTTCTCCCGCCAGGGATACAGAGCGAACATGACGCTTGAAATGATGATCTAAGCAGCCATTAAGGTACACTTTTGGATAAAAAAGAAAAGGCAAAAATAGTAAAATTTTAAATTTTTATGCTTTTTACCTAATAGATTAGGAAAAATGCAGAACTAAAAAATAAAAAGATTCGTTTTGACGACAAGATCCAAGAAATAGTTTATCACCAAAAAACCACCCATATGTGCCTATCAATATTGCAGATCTATGCACTCAGCGTAGTTGTAGCTTATTACGCGCAACTCTATTTGTATAATTATAATTACTATTGGTAATATTTCACCAATATTTTTGATTACGCGATCTTTTCGTTATTCGTTATTCACTTCAGTGAATAAACATTTCAGTATCCTTAAACAAATATTACATTATACTTTATTTTCAAGAATACTTTCAATGATAACAAAAATTTCTTGTTTGTTTTTTGGAAGCTAAACTGCTAAATGCATTTGCAAGCAGTTTAATTAATTTTCCAAATAACTTCCATAAATATTTATTACCAACCGGAAGTGCAGCTTAGTGTGAGAAAAATCTTTTTCATGAAAAATCTTGCAGCTAACTTTATAAAATGATTTTTTTGTGGACAAAATCTTAACATTAGCAATAGTCTTTCAAATTAACGTGCCACGAAAAATGTCCACCAAGATTTTTATTCGTTCAAAAAAATTATACACAAAAGTTTTTCGTAATTATTATAATACAATGGAAGATGAAAAAATTGCCTTGAGGAACGACAAATGCTGTAGAACAGTATTTTAAAAAATTATTGCATAAATTCCTCATAAAAGAGCAAAATTATGCTTCCGAATCCAGGTTTGCTGGAAATGTGACTTATGGATTGAACGACTACGAAAGAACTTAATCACGAAAAACTTACCCATACAGGATAGGATAAAATATATATATTTTCCGGGCAATACTGGTCTATTTTTAGCAGATGTTTCGATAAGGCGATTCGATGAAAATAAAAAAAAAGAATCGAAAAAATAAAATCATTAACTGTGAATGGTAAAATAAGTAATACTTTCCTATTGGTTACTTCCTATTTACCATTGGGGAATTCTATTCAGGTTCTTAATGATCCCTCAGGTCATTTCCTTTCAAAAGGAGGACTTTCGTTCAAATATTTAAACGATGTTCCTCAAGGCCTGACGAAAACCTGAGCATATGTGATGAGACCCTTTTTAAATTTCAGGCTAATTGACTACTAAAATCTGTACATCAGATGATATACAAGAAATATAAGATTTCGTATATATTACAAATGCACATTGCCTACTACTATTTTTTTTAGAAATTCACAACAAAATTAAATTGAACGTGACCGATGAATTTCGCGTACATAATCGTGCATAAATCAGTACCATAGCCAACCTTATTTTTTAATAAAAAAGGTCAAGCTAAAGGTTAAGAAGGTCAATAGAAGTAGACTACTTAAGAGAGAAAAACGAACCACCCGACATTTTGCAGGCACTAAAGCAGAGAGAAATCATTCCAGATGAACGAATTCTTCTAATTATCACAATAAAATTGATCAAAATGTTGAGAAACCTGGGCGGTAGAATTCACCGAACAATGTGCCAGGCACATGTCTTCGAGAAGGACTCGGACTGAGCAATGATGTTGTCGCATATCGACTACTAAATGGAAATAATGTGTGCGTAATTGGAGACGTCGACCGACGATATGCAGCCGTCGTAACTCGATTTAAAACTCTAAAAAAATTTATTTTACAATAAATATATCTGATGCGTGGCTAATTAGCGATAGAAACTGCTTAGAAATGAAAGGACAATTAAATTATAGGTCGGCGGGTTAGTCGAATGATATGATCAAGCAGTGTGAGTTCCTTTCATGTCTTTTGAGGAGAACTCAAATGAAAGTCAACTAAAAGTGAAATTCCGATGAGAGCGTTTACTGCTCTCAGATTAGATTAGGACAGTCGCAGCTTGGCTTCTTGTAAAATAAGCCAACCCAAACAAACCATGAATGTGGTGTTGGAAAATGTTAAGGATGAGATCTTAGGCGGAAATTCGTTATTACTGACGGATTCGTTGAATTTTTTCCACTGAGTAAAGTTTGGACGGTACTGATATCTCGATAGTTTATCTTCGGCTTCGGTGCTGCTTGCACCATTTTTCGCCTTAATTCAGCGCAATAAACGTCAGGAATCGTTAAATCAGACTGGTTTGTTGTCATCATGGAGACTGTAGAAGTTCCTGAAAAATAAAACATGACATAATTTTAAAAAAATTACTTTTTCCCTCGCCTGTGCCAAAAAACTACTTTTACTCCAAAGTACTGCACTGAATTTTTATTAAAATAACCTCGAAGTTTGCGTTCATAATCGATCATTTGTTTCCAAAAGCCAATGTTTGGCCTAATAATAGGCCGGGCTGATTTAACATAATGGTAGGCTTGCCGAAGAGTCATTCTTTCGTATTTAACGAGGTAGATCATGCATAACGAAGCTGACCGCGATACACCCGCCACGCAGTGCACTAAAGTTTTACCGCCTCGATCCTACAATCGATTATACATATCAAATATCAAACTTTGACATATGTCAAAAAAAATGTCAAAAAGAAATAAAAAGCACAAATCTAATCCCTTAATTCGTTTACTTCATTCCAACAAAATTATTTAAAATTTACTGAAATCAAATAAATCTAGCAAATGGATTTCGATAGTGGCGAAGCAACATGGATATGGATATTCATACCTCTATTCTCCTAGGGAAAAATGCATTATTAAAGCTGAAATGCAAGTGCTTACTCGAGGCACACCTGTAAATGCTTCAGTCCTCAATTGTGCATGACTTATCTCAAAAAAAGGAACCTATCAAAGTAATAAATGGAGTTAGTAAATGGTGCTGTTGAATAAAACAACAATTAGGCGAAAACCATCGACAAATAAAGAACCTTTATTGACTTGATTTTATCAGCGACGATATCAAAATACTGGTCAATTCTCGCATGTGGATTATCTTCGATGGATATTTTCATATAATCGATGCCTTAATAATGGAGCTATACAAATGAAAATGACGGTTATTAGATAAATGAATGGAACTTTTCTTGTTTGAACTTGCGGCGGGAAAGTGTAATTGTAATTGAAATTTACAAAATAAGTAACCGAAGAAGACAAGAAAGATTAAAAAGTTTGCTATTGACTGATACTTATTAACAAATAGATCTAAATTTCTTTATCACTTTGTCATTCACCATTTTTATCACCTAATGCAAAAGTATTATATAAAAGTATTATGGGTGCTCTCACCACAAATATAATGGCCATGAATTATTAAACTCTTTCATAATTAAACTAAACAATAGATCGTACAACTTTCTGTTCTGAAAAGCATTCGTACAATCTTTTTTCGTTTCGTTTAATTTATTCTTTCATAAAATTATGAAAATATAGAAAATGTAAATAATATTCGAAAATTAAACATGATGAAAAAGAAAAATCAAAAAAACTTAAATTGATAATTTAATTCAATCGATTTTTTGCTATATAATTCAACTAATTAAAAAATGATTAAATTAGTTCTGAGCTTATCATTTTGATAAGACTGTTAATTTTCCAAAAAATCATAAATTTTTCTTCCCCACTAAAAGAATATTCGATGAAAATAATTGGATAAACCTGGTATATAAACGCTTGGTTCTTCAATTGTAGCATTGATGACGCATACAATTCGCTTTTCCAGAAGCTTTTCCGGCTTTATAACACCAGCACCTGATAAATAAAGATGCTCAGTTATCTCAGAAATTTGTCCTGACACACCAATTCTTAACATTTCTGCAAATATTCATAGTAATATTATTTCAAAAAGAATAGAAAAACAGAAGAAAAACACCAGTGGAAATATCGAACTTCCTGTAAATCTTGGGAAAATTATCAAAAAATTATTACGGATTTCAACGAAAATAAAATAACGTGAAAGCACAGAGGACACATTAATAATTACTATTAAAGCAGATTACATCTGAATATCGAAAAAAATGAAAACATTTCTAAATAATGAAAAATTCTATTAGAATATTTTACTTTTTTACAAATGGAAAATGATTAAATTTAAACTTGCAATTAGCCATTCGCCGAGACTGAGAAAGCCTAGTAGGATGCAATCAACTAAAGGGTAATAAGCTAAGCAATGACTGGCTCGGGTTCGGCTAGACCTTACAGCCGAGCCGTAGCCCATAAATTATTAAGGTTTAAATTTATTTGTTTCAAAATTTTCCATTATTGATCTTTTTAACTGACTCTTTAACTCTTTGGCGATATAATTTTGAAGTAAATGAAATAAAAACTAATTTTTTTTTCGAATTTTAATTAAACTAACTTTTCAATTTTTTTTTAACTGGAATATTTCATCAAATTGACTACTGATGAAGAAAGAAAATACAAAGAAAGCATTAAAAACAAAAAAATAATCAAAATAAACAAAAAAATCTCAAAAAACCACGTGATACTTGATAACCGAGTTGGAGAGATAAGCTATGATAAGCTTTTAGGAAAGTCAGTCAGCTTGACGATGGAGTATGACAGATTTTCAGGAAAGAGAGTTGGCCAAATATTCGACTAATCGGTACAAAAATAATTCATAAATTTCCGACATTTTTGAACAAAAAGTTTTGCCAAAAAAAGCTAACAAGGAGAAATATACGAAAGTGGAATATACAAATTACTTCAAAATTATAGTTAAACAGCAAAAAAAATTTTTCAATACAACCACTTTATAAATATTTAATTTAATCAATATTAATCTTTTTTACAAGAATTTCTTCGTTAAACTAAAAAAATCAAACCGAAAAGAAATTGATATCTGATAGTAATGTGGTGGTACCGAGCGGAACCATCAGCACTTTCGTTCATAAGCGACTATTTCCTTTGAGAATATCTAATGATATTAATCAGCTACGAGCTTAACCAATTATCTAACTATGCCTGAGGGAATTATGGAAAAATTGTTTGAATGAAATCCATTAAGATTCTGTGAAGCAAAAAAATGAAAAATCCTTTTCCATATTGTTTTATACGATTTACGAAAGATATTATAGATGATCACTTTTTCACTTTTTTACTTCTCTTTTAAAGAAAGCATCTAAATAATTCATTTTGAAGAACTAATGCAAAAATATAATAAGTCTTCACTGATTGTAGGGAATGATTCCCAGAGAGTTTTTAAATAAATATATATCCTTTATTCTTTTGAAACAGGATTAATGCAACTTGGATGAATGCTTAGATTATTAAAACTACGAATATTCTGCCTCCTATCTCTTGATTAAAACAAACTTGCATCAAATGCTGCTAGGAACCAACCTGAACTTTCATCCATAACTGGCTCATCTCCTAAGCAGTACATGAAATGAGCCGAAAAAATAATATTGCTGCCAGAAAATCTTAATTTGTCAGTTTGCCTTCATCCTATCCAAAATTGATAAAATATAAAACGTTTCCGTCGATAAATTTCGCAGTTATCTTTTTTAATATTATAATTTACACACTGAACTCTATTCACCAGTGGCGCCAAACCAGCAGTGGTGCAAGCTGCTTGCAGGAACATACTGGAAAATGATCAAATGCCTTCATTATCTTTATTATCATATTATCATATTGAACACAATTTTGCTTAAATATTAACAAGATTTGAATGGAATTTCGAAAAATAATAAAATAATAATTATTGAATATTCTTCCTTAATTTCCAAAGATATTATTAGCAACCAGAAAAAAAGTTTCAAAAAAAGCAACCAGTTGGGAATAATTGGTTGGTGAAATTGGCGGAAATTGATGAATTGGTGCATCGTTTAAGCCATTTTTTATTGTTGTCAAATAAATTGGCTGGCTGACATTTATAACAATATTTATAAGAAAAGTTGTGAGAAAAATGAGAAAAGGAACTAAAGTCACTTAAATTTAAATACTAAAAAAAAGATAAAAAAAGATAGAAAAAAAATGAAGAAACAAATAGTTGAAATTGAAAGCGAAAAAGAGCGAATCGATTAAGAAATAAAAGCGAAAATGGGCGACACAGTGAAAAAATAATAAAAATAAAAGCGGAAAATAGCGATTTGATGAAAAATAACAATAAAAACTGAAAAATAGCGATCCGACAAAATTAATTATCTGAGGTCTAAAAATAATAATTATTACTATCAAATTTTAAAAAAATTCAAATTAATTTTACTTAATTTCATTTTGTTTAATTTCATAAAAATTATATTTTTACTTCAAGTAAAGGCAAGAATTATCAGTTCAATCTTGAAAAGAGTTAATCTAATATCTAATCTGATATCAAAGCTAAAGTTCGAATGATAGCTTAACCTCTTTTTTTTTAAGGAGTCCTCACCATTACTGGCTAAACTCGCTCCGCATATCACATTGGACAAATATGCCACGGAGTCCCTTGGCGATAGAAGTACAGATGAATCGCCAGCATCACCCAGATTTTTGGACAGGCTTACTTTTGCGGGGAATCGAACCTCAGTATCGGCACTCCCAATTGAGCAACCCACTGAGCAATTCTATCCCACAGCTTAACCTCTATCCTCATTTAATTCTTGGTGAAATGCTCATACGAATATTCATCCAATCATCCAATTTCATCCAATCGGCAAGTGCGCAGGCGAATCATGGAAACAAGAATGGGAAATATTATTTTAAAAAAAATGTCAAAAAATTATAACCAATAAAAATTTAGAAAAAAAAAGAAAAATAAATATTATAGATTTGCATTTTGGTTAACTGCATAGATTTGCAGAACAAGAAATTTTATGAAAGAGTTGTTGGGCATAGAAGTAGAATAGTAGCAGAAACGAGGATATTTCCGGCATATGGCAAATGCATGAAATTTTTCGAAAAAAAAGCTATGCAACCAAACTTTCCTGGAATTTATTTCGATAGAAAGAAAAATTTTCTCTTTCGTGAGAATATCCATTATAAGCGTTCGATGTAGGCCGCCGAATAAACAAATAAAGACACTCCGTAAAACTTGGTCTCTTTCATTCAGTCCTAAATCCCTTAGGACATTCACAAAATATGGATTATTGTCTTTTCCTAATCCTAGAATTATTTCTATGGAATTAAAATCACTATGCGACAAATTTATGGTAATAAATTTGCGATCGAAATTTTTCTCAAAAAAGGAATAATAAAAAAATTAAAATTTTAATTCTGCTTGAAGATGGAATTCATCCATAAAATTTACTAATTATAAAAGACCAGCAAACAAGCCAATCAAGCCAATAAGCATATACCCAGCAATAGCAAAATATTCTCAAATGGACAATCTGCGATGGTAATTTATTTTTATTTTAGATGAAATTCTTAGAGGGATTTCAAGTATGTCAATTAGCTTTTTCTTCTACGGGCACTCAAACCATTTCTTGGCTGGTTTCACTGCCTATTATGACAATGTACCACTTAGGAAAGCAGGATAGCAGCTGGTCACCAGCACCATTTGCACTTCAATTCTACTATCATATTATTTAATTCTACTATTTACTCCTATCAAAAGTACTTCAAGTACCGACTCAAATCAAACCAACTCAAATCAAATTTAACCGCAGTCGAAGCAATTACTACTCGATTATTCTGTCGCTAAAAAAAATTAGCGAAGATTAATTACACAAATATATTTAATTCCTTTATGATTTCCCGGATCGAATTGATCCCGGATTGATTTCCCGAAACGAATCAAGGAAATTTTCCAAAAAATATTTATTTGATAAATAAAATTTTTGAAGTAAACAGAAAACAGTGATTAAAAGGTTCCATTTTTTAATCAAAGAATGAAAAAAATTTTAGAAGTTCGTTGTAAACTGAAAGCATTAGAAAGCAATCGCCTTGATTCTTAAGCAATTAATCTTTTTTGCAAACAAATTATTCCTTTTTTTTATAATGAGGAAAAAATGAGGCAAATTTCCTATAAATCAACATGAATTTCGGTATATTCAAAAGGTTTTATAGAAAATTAGTAAAAAAGGGTAACAAAAAGCAAAATTAGAAATTTTTCAGCTCAGTTGATGGTAAAAAATTTTCACACTCTAAACGCCTCAAAGAATTTGTTAATCGGTTGGTTAATGGACAACATTCGCCATTTGCTGCTCTTATCATTCCTCGCAATTATAAGCATTCAACACTTACAAAAGCGTCGCTCGGAAAATTTGTCGCTAAAATATTCTTAAATACGGCGAGTTTAACCCTACCGCAAGCAGTGGCAAAACCACGATGTTCGAAGTAAAATTCTAAGCAAATGCATCATTCGGCTATATTTCCCACATAATTTTTCAATAAATATTTTGAAAAATTGTCAAGAAATGATATAAAAATTATTAAAAAACACCACCAATTACTAACAGGTTTGAAAGAAACTAAATCGAAATTAAAGATTATAAATTTAATTATATATCATTCATATATGCACATATATGCACGTAAATGCACATATGTGCACATGCGTGCAAATACGTTCATATATATGCACACATATGCGCATATACACACACACATACACACACATACATATATAAATGCATTTATGTCTGCGAAGCATCATTAATAATTAAATTGAAAGAACGACACCGCTGACGTCAAATAAATTTTTTTAATGAAATTTAAATGAATATAAATTTTTATTCTCCTTTAGAATATTTTTCTTCTATTGTTTTCCCACTTATCGGCCGATTTTTTTCCAGTGAATTTTACAACTATTTCTGTTTAGAATATTGCAATAAGAATTCGAGAAAGCAAAAGCAAAAATGAGAAGAAATATTTAATTGCACAATGGTA